TAGCTTCGGCTTCTTTCCGCTCCGGCCGCGCTTCGCCGTCACCGGTCAAAACCCCTGCGGGTCCTGGATGGCCCATCGTTTTGGCGGTCGCAGCATCGCCGCAGGTCAAGAGGGAGGTCTTCGGGCGATGCAGATGCGCCAAGCGGGAAGGGCGCTGCCCGATGCAAGCTGCGGCAGTGGGGCCTCGCTCAGTTCCAAGCCAGGCGGGATGTCTTTGCTTCGCGTTGGAGAAACAATTTGCCCGCCACCCACCTTTTTGGGCCCCCTACAAACACCCAGGCGATGTGATGGCTCTCAGACAGGTTTCAACCCGCCATGGGGAGGTGTGTATCCCTGGCATAGGGGGCCCGTCTCAAACATAGGGATGCTCCGAGCCAAAGGTCGTACCACCATGCGGATCAGAAAGGTGGTTCGGCCTGTTTTTTGGTTGGTTCACGGGCTCTCCGATGGACGCGGGCGATTTCGGTCTTTGTTGCAGCGCCTCAGGCACAAGGCTTGCACGACGCGGTAGACTTCACCATGGCGATCGCCGGGTGTAAAAACGGGGAAGATGCGTGCAGACTCCTGGCCGCCATGCCACAATCCGCGGTGCAGGCGGGGTTTGGGGGGGGGTTTAGGGTGGGGGGGAGGGGTAGAAGTGTGGCTGGAGACGGTTTCGCATGGTTTCGGGTCCATGGCGCAGGCGGATGTGATATGCTTCAACGCAGCAATCAGCGCGTGTCAGAAAGGCTGGCAGTGGAAGCAGGGGTTGGCCCTGTTTTGGGATATGTTTGAGGCGAAGATACAGGCAGACGAGATCAGCTGCGATGCTGCGATTAGCGCTTGCGAGAAAGGCCGTCAATGGCCGCAGGCTTTGGCCCTGTTTCAAGCCATGCCTGAACTGCAGGTGAGAGCAAATGAGATCAGCTTTAATGCCACCATCAGCGCGTGCACAAGAGGTGGGCAGTGGCAGCAGGCATTGGCTTTGTTTCAAGCCATGCCCACAAACAATCTACAAGCAGATGTGATCAGCTTCAATGCAACTATCAGCGCGTGCACGAAATGCGGACGGTGGGAGCAGGCGTTGGCAGTGTTTCGGACCATTCCAAAAGTATCCCTCCAAGCTGATCAGATAAGCTTCAGCGCAGCTATCAGCGCATGTGCGAGGGGTGGGCAGTGGGAGCGAGCTTTGGTTTTGTTTCAGGCCATGCCTGAAGCAAAACTGCAAGCAGATGAGATCAGCTTCAATGCAACAATCAGCGCATGCGAGAAGAGCAGGCAGTGGGAGGAAGCGCTATTCCTATTTAGGAACATGTCAGATGGCCAGTTGGAAGTGGATGAGATCAGCTTCAGTGCAACCATTAGTGCCTGCGAGAAAAGTAAGCAGTGGGAACATGCGTTGGCCCTGTTTCGGGCCATGCCCCTGTCAAAGGTGAGGGCAGATGAAGTCAGCTACAACGCAACTATCAGTGCTTGCGAGAAAGGCGGACAATGGGAGCAGGCGCTGGTGTTATTTTGGGACATGTTCGTGGCAAAGCTTCAAGCAGATGCAATCAGCTTTGATGCAGCTATTAGCTCTTGCGGGACAGGTGGGCAGTGGGAAAAAGCCTTGGCAGTGTTTTGGCAGATGCCTGAAGCAAAGGTGCGAGCCAATGACATCAGCTTCAACGCAACCATTAGTGCGTGTGAGAAAGGCCGGCAGTGGCAGCAAGCGTTGGTTCTCTTTTGGGCTATGCCGGCCGCACATCTGCAATCAGATGAGATCAGCTTCGGGGCAGCCATTAGCGCTTGTGAGAAAGGCGGCCAGTGGCAGCAGGCATTGGCCCTCTTTCAGGCAATGCCTGAAATGCAGGTGCAACCCAATGGGATTTGCTTCAATGCAGCCATCAGCGCATGTGAGAAGGGCGGGCAATGGGAGCAGGCGCTAGAGCTATTTCGGATCTTGACTGCAGCCAAGTTACAAGCAGATGCGATCAGCTACAATGCGAGCATCAGCGCTTGCGGGAAAGAGGGGCAGTGGGGCCAGGCGTTGGCTCAGTTCCGCGCGATGTCGTCATCAGCGGTGGCTGCAGATGGCATCAGTTTCAACGCAGCAATCAGCGCCTGCGAGACAGGTGGACAGTGGCAGCAGGCAGCAGCGCTCTTCCGGGCCATGGCTGATGCAAAGGTGCCGGCAGATGAGATCAGCTTCAATGCCACCATCAGCGCGTGTGAGAAAGGTATCTCAGTTGTTCAGTGGCGCCAATTCTTTTTCCCCCTTTTTTGGTGGCTGCCCCACTAGAAATGGTCTTCCCCAAAAAGGGTTCCCATTTTTTCCAGGGTCACTGAACAACTGAGGTATGTTTCTGTAAAGGCCGCCTTTGCCGCGCCTCTTGGTATTCGTTCGGCCATGCGGGCCGATCAGCGCATTTGGAGGTATTCGGCTCTGGCAGCTTTGACAGGAACATCCTCGCCGGTGTTCTTCCCGCCCCTGTGACGCATGCACGCAACTCACGGCGTAAAGCGGTTCTCAGAAGGATCCCTGGCAACGAACGGGGGGGCTTTCCGCGTTGCGTGTGGCGACACAGCTGCCGTATACCAGATTTGGTACCCTTCCTCGAAGCTGCCGGAGGGTGGCTCCCGTTCCACTTCCATGATTGTTCACAAAATCCGCGTGCTGTTCTTTGGTTTGGTCAGGTAGATCATCCAGGGCCATACGTTCATTATTTTCAAGAAGACGCTCCGTGCGACATGGACTGCTTGTTGACGCAAAGGATCCCTTCGGCACGAATTCCAGCAAGCTTGCCTGGATGATGATGATGATGATGATGATGATGATGATGATGATGATGATGATGATGATGATGATGATGATGATGATGATGATGATGATGATGATGACAACCGAGTTCCTTACGCAGTATACAGTATCTAGTGATACCCTAAAAGTACAAGGCTGCGGCTTGACTTTGCCATTTATCCACCTGTCTCGAGGCACTTGTTACACTTCACAGTTCCAGATGAGAGTGCTTGATTCATGGCCGGCTCACCTGGGGGTACCATCAGCTCATCCATGATGAAGGATCCCGTTGTCGGGCTCTTGGTTCAGGTTCGGAATTCTTGGGTTTTGAATTTATCATGAGCTTCTGTTTGAGAGGGAGCTGGACCAACTCACCTGGTTGGCCCCCATGCTCCCAGCTTGCAGAGGCAGGCCACATATCAAGGGCAGGATATTGAATCGCTTCCTTTGGAGCATGCGCCAGACCCCTATGAAAGGAATCATCGTGGGAGGATTGGAAGTATGTTGGAGGGTCTTTTGGACTCTGGCAGTGGAGTCAATCGCTGGTTGGCTAGGTGGCCGGCTGGCCAGTTGATTTGTTGGGTCGGTCGCTCGTTGGTGGGTTTGGTTGGTTGGTTGGGTTGGCTTGGCTGGCTTGGCTGGGTGGCTGGCTGGCTGGCTGGCTGGCTGGCTGGCTGGCTGGCTGGCTGGCTTGCTGGCTGGCTGGCTGGCTGGTTGGTTGGTTGGTTGGTTGGTTGGTTGGTTGGTTGGGAGTACTTCCACATCTCACTGACGGGATACGCCCATCAAAGGCAACCAGACTGACATCGTTGCATCCCGCCTTCCGTTTGCAAGCTGGCTCATGCATGTGTTGGCGGACACCTCAGCACATCTACCTTTCGGTTTCCTTGGTATGTGGAATTTTCGAGGCACCCCTCGGCGGGTTTCCGAACGTGCGTTCTTTGAAACCAAACCTCGACGCCGGTCCCTTTTCCTGAGTTCTTCTCCGAGGCGCGCATGGCGCGGCGCTTGACACGGCACAAAGAACGAAGGACTGCGTGTCGAAAAGTGCGGCCCGTGGCTACGCTGGGCAAATCAGAAAGCGACATGTGTGACCCTGCAGATGAACACAGGATTTCGGCACCATGTCCAACTTTACGGGGAACCCTCCAAAAGTGGGGATCGCTTCCATGGAAACCACCATTGATCAACCTTTGATCTGGGGAAATTGCAACATGACATCCAAAAAGGACGTCACCCGGGACGAGATTCCTCCAAAACCGATGCTTGTTGGGTTCCACGTCAATCAGGAGTGCGCTGGTTGGAAGAAGGAGACACTGGAGTAGCATGCAGGCAATCAACGCCCTGAGAGTTCCTACTGTGGATGGACGAAATCCATTTCGCACCACCCAAGAAACCATTAGAAACCATTGGGAATCATCCTTCCAGGGTTTCTTAGGTGGCGCGAAACGATTTTTTCCATGCGCAGCATGGGGTCTTTGGCCACTGCAGATGATGGCAACCTCGGCAATCGTTTCTCTGCTCCCGACCCGGACCTGTCAATTGGCTTCCTTTTGGGCTTGGTGATTCCACTGTGCCATGTCATCCGGGCCCGGATTGCTCGAACATTTCGGCCTGAGCAAAAATGGGTCTGTCTTTCTCCAGGCTACTTTTTCAAGATGGTGGTATTCTTGTTGGTTTCCCTTAAAACCAGCCCAGAATGGGTACCAACGCAAAGCAACAAGCCCACATTGGCCAATGCCTGTACTGAGCGTACTCTTTCGCCCATTCTCTCGGCTCGCAGAGCGCAAAGGCGCCAATAAAAACATTTGTTGTGTGTGTGTGTGTGACTTGTTTTCGAGTTGGTATCAACTTGTTTTTTTGTTTTTCCTTTTTTTTTTTAAGGGAAACCCAAAAGGAATCCGCACATTTGGGCTGTCGCCCCTATTTTATTTCACCTCCACTTGGGCGCAATTCCCGACACAGATTGACATGGGCCAGAGCTCTTTCCTGATCCCTTGTGGACGTCCTGCCTCACCCATGTTGAAGAAGGCTGGCCCCAGCTGGATCTTTCTTTGTGATTAGAGTGGGTAAATGCTGCAAACCCAGATTCAGTCTCGTGCCACGCACACTAAGTGCAGCATGCCATTCCATCACATGGGTATTCTTTTTCAGGAATCGGACTCCGCAAATTGGCTGGTTTTCCCTTTGGATTCTCTTTGAACCCCCCCAAAAAGGGGGATACCCTCACAACAAGTCACACTCCGGATTCACTTTATCCGCTGAAAGCGGAATGGCCCGGCGCGGGCCTTGGAGTGCGCGGGGAAGACGCATGACAGAGAAGGATGAGGCTGCCCGGAGAGAGCATGGGCATGTCTCAGTCTTTCGCTTGTGGCTTCAAACATCGCCCTTTGGTTGCCAATTCAATGTATTCAACCCACAGCTATTGACCAAGGTAACCATGGGTATCGCCACCTTACGGACATCCAAAGTGATCTTCCTTGCAAGGTGACGTTTGGGGAAGGTGTAGGGAGCTTTGCGTCTTTTTGCTCAGGGCGCCCTTTTGGGGGAAGGAGGGGACATCCGGCTCCCGCACGGGTGTCCACGCCGGAGGCCTAGGACTCGGCTTCTGACCGCGGTGCTTTTCGGCGATGCGGTCGCGCTCCTGGTGCAGATCCCCGCGAGCACGGAGGACTCGCGAGCTTCGATGTGGCGGTTAGGCCCTCCGTGTCCTCCCAAAACAACAGGCTGCCTGACATGGCTTTGGTGCATTTTGCTTGGATTTTAGGACTTTAACTTTTTGCCAACTACTGGGTGTTCCATTAAACCGTAAAATAAACCACTAAAAGTTAAACTTTTAGCAGGGGAGCAGAAAGCAACCCAGATAAATAATATTGTCGGCTGCTCACATGAGTCTATCTGTTTTTGAATTGGTATGTTATATACCCCTGTTTGTTTATTTTACCGAGATTCCAATTGGACAACCACGGTTTTGGGCCCCCTAACAAAAAGATACGTCTGTAAATGGCCCCAAAATGGCAGTTTTGTCCCGTTGGTCCACCCTTTAAAGAAACCCCCAAAAAAGAGGTAGCCTCAAAAAACGCAACCCCAATTTCCCGTTTTGGCTCAAAACCATCACCCTTCTGGGCTGCCAATATAGTCAGTTTACTTTCGGTAGAAGTTCGGTAGATGTTTGAGGGGAAATATGGGAGACAGGGAGCCGGGCCGCTGGATGGTTTTCTTGGAACAGACCGGCGGAATCCATGGCGTGGTTTTGATTGGGGATCTACAAGAATCGGCAAACTCCATCTCGTGGGTTCCGACAAACTCATTCTAACCCGAGGCTTGTCTCAAAATCTTCTTGAACCCCCTGCAAAGGCGGCATATGGAGTTGTCTCGAAATCTGGATCGGCCTCGTTCTTTTGGTTTCCCCCCCCCCACAAAATCTCAAAGGGTACCGAGCATTGACAAAAACGACACCAGCAAAGCAAGCACAATAAGAGGTTTGATCTCCTCCAAAACTATTCTATATTGTAGGGTGGGCTATTCTGCTCCATATGTTTTTTGTTTCTCTCTCTTTTTTTGTTACCCTAAATGTGGGCCACGTTAAACCATAGTCAAACCCTCAGTTACGGTAAATTCATCCATGTTTTCCCATGTAAACCACAGTCTGGGCCTGGGAAGGGCGGGAGCCCAGGCCTTGTTTGGGCGCCAATCAACCCCTCCCCGTCCCCCTCCCTTCCCGCCAATCAACCCCTCAGCAGGTTAATGAAGTTGTTTTTGTTTCACAAGAAGTGTAAACCATAGTCAAACCCTCAGGTACCCCCTCGCCAACTTAATGAAACTTTTTCTTTGACAATAGTGAAAGTCATAGTCAAACCCTCACAAGGTGCCGAAGATGTATGCCAAAAACCAAAAAGATCCGCAGGACGAGGAGGGCGCTTGGTATTTGCGCTGGGACGCTTTGGCGGAGAGCGGGGAGCACTTTGCCCAGGGCCTCCGCGAGCGACTCGGGGGGCGAGGCGCGGGGTTGGGGATTTTTGGGGTTTGTCAGGCATTGTTTTTCTTTGTGTTTCCGCCTTTTGTTATTGTGGAACTTGTCTTCCCTTTGGTTGATATTTTTTTCCCGGTTGGCTTTAAAGGGAATCTATCACTACTGGATTTTTTCTAATATATTTTTCCTAGGACTTAAGCAAACTGTTATTTTGGACCTCCAGAGACCAGGCCAGGTCTGCGGCTGCACCTGGACTTCGGGCTGTCCAGCTGGGTGCCGATGTTCAGCGGGGAGAAGTACCTGGCGCTGGGCCGGGGGGCCCAAAAGCAGCGAGCGGTTTCGGCGGTTTGCGGATTTTTTCAGCGGCGGCGGGATTTTTTTAACGCGGCCGGGCGAGCAGTGGCGGTTTCGGGTTGGGGTGACCTACCTGCACCCTCAAACTATACCCGGTACAATGGGCTGTTGCCCCATAATCATGGGAAATCACATTTTTCGGGGTAGCTATGGGCTATTTTGGATCTCCAAATTAAGCAGCCGGGGCTACGCAGGCGTTGGTCCATGTTTTCACTTTCCAGGCTTCCACGTTGGGAACTCCACAGCAGCTTTATGCATAGGTGTCCTTTTGATTGGTGAGTTTGGAAATAGCTGGGTTCCACTGGTCTAGCTGGGTTTTAGGGTAATTGCCGGGCCCCCTCCGTTTGCCATCTTGTTGGTTCGAAGGCATCCAAATCGTTTGTCATGAATCCTCCGAGAGAAAAGAAACAATACCCAGAGGCTGCTGGCTTCCGCTTTCAATGGAAGACTCGACCCCGAAGCAGTAGACACCCCGGGAATTGGTGTTTGAGGTTCTCAAAATGGCTGTTTGAGGGGCCCAAGAAAGCACTGGGTACCTGGAAAACCCATCTAGTTTTCCCGAAAGGCCACCTATGGCTTCAGGCTGGATGGGATGGACTTGTGATGAGTGCAGATGATCGGTGCAGATGAGTGATAAGGATCCAAGCTGCTTGAACTCAATGGTTTGGCGATTTTTCTGAACAGATCTTCGGACTTTGACTTGGTTGTGGGTCAAAAATAGGTATCCAAACGGAAGCCTGGTAAATGGACCCAAGACCAGTTCCTGTGGTTTTCTGGTGGTTTAATTTTGACCCATACCCGCCTTTTGGTTGAAAAAGGACGGATTTTCGAACTTTTTACCCAAGCGAACAGCTTTTTGCAGAGGGGTCGTTGCCAGCAACCAAGACTGGCAACCGAGTCTCCGATCCCAATATGGCTTCCCAAGCGGGGGGTAGAGGGGTGCTGCCTGAGAGCCCTAAGGTTGGCCCTGCGGCATCCCCTACCCGCGCTTAGGGACTCCAAGGTTCACATGGAGCCCAACCGTTTTAGAGGAATCTCCTTTGGGGGGAGCCTCTTTTCAACCCATGTTGGCTAGAGTAACATATGTATTAGGGTTGACTAAGTTGGTGGTGGAAGGGAGCTAAGGAGCTGGGGGGGAAATAAGCTCAAGGAAGATTTCGCCGGGTCTACCCCCGTGGGTGAAGAACAAATGCTCGGCTGGCGGACATTTGATATGTTTCAAGCCAGCAGGGGAATCTGTCAAAACACAACTTGCCACAACAGCACACCTAGTGACCTCGCGGTTGTTGGGCCTGGGCAAAACGGATTTTGAGTAAGGGCGGAATGATTATTACTACTATTCTCCCATCATGACCATTGCGTTTGAAGTACCTCACAACCCATTCTATTGGCCATCCTGAGCGTCCAAAGATGGGGTTTATGACCATCTACCCCCAAAAACGGGTAGCCAGTAAAGGGTTCATGACCAAAAGCTTGCTGGTGCTCGGGAATAGAAATGGAATGACCCCAAGAAGAACCATCCCACTGGTGGTGTCCTTTCTTTGGGAATCCCCTTCCAGTTCATTCTAGTTCTTCGTTCCCTACCTATCGCACCAGCAAGAAACCCCCAAAAGCAGGGTGCAGCAGAAGCAAACGGCGTTTTGGCCATTTTGAAGGTCTTCTAGGGTCCCAGGACGACGGCGGGTTTTTTTGCTCAGGCGCGGCGGGTGGCCCCAGCAGCTTCGTGGAGTGGCGGCACCTGGTCGGGCATCTCTACGTGCCTCGGAGTGGTCGGGTCGGGTGGGGCTGATGGGTCGGGTGGGGGGGGCTCAAAAAGGGAGGCGAGTCCACGGAGGAGAGACAAAAGAAGTCTCAACCCAACATGATTTGCTTCTTCCTCCTTTGTCCGGCTGCATCAAGAGCCAAGCTGGTCCTATTCAATTATTGTTGCAGCCCAATGGCAACCCTCTGCCCAAAACGGAAAAACATAAACATATTTGTTTTATAAAAAAAAAAGAAAAAAAAGGAAAACCGAACAGGTCCAATTCCCATCCCATCGCTCCTCCAAAACGAAGACGAAGCGAGGCGCTGGTGGCCAGCTACCGCCCGGACCGGGCGCTGCAGCTGGAGCTGGCGCCCTTTGCCGCAAACGGCGCCGGCCAGGCGCGCGCTCGGCGCTCGCGTTTCTTGGGGCTTCCTTCCGGTGCCTGGTGCTTCCGTTGGCAGAACCGATTTTTTTCCTTCCCCCCTGTTTTGGTTTTTTGAAGGGAGTCGAGTTCACTACTGGACATAGTTTGTCTTTTTTTTTTTCCAGGGGGCTTAAGCAAATGGCAGACAGGGAACCGGACGAAGTCGGGAAATGGTTCGTTCCTTTAAAGAGGAGAATGGTCTGAAAGAGGACAAACCGCAACGTCAGGTTCCGTGTGAATTGGTGGGAGGGGAGTTTGATCTTTGGCTGTAGCTGCGTGCTTGTGATTTTGTTTTTTTGTTGTTGTCGGTTTTTGAGCTTTGTTGGTTTTGTCCTCGCCTCTTGTCTTTTTCGCTCGGTGGTGTGGATGTTTCTTCACGTTTTGTCATGCTACAGGCGGGTTTACCCGAACCTGGCAGATGCCCAATGAAACCATGCGCCCGAAACAAAACGGCCAGAGGTGAATGGCTTGACATGAGTGGCTCGTCTTTTTGTAGGGATCGGACCCCAAATGGTGGTTTGCCTTTTGGTGTCCCTTGTAAAACCAACCAAATGGGGGTTCCCAGAAAAAGACATACCCCTATGGGTTCTAGCAAGGCCTAGGTAAGGCTGTATAGCCGTCTTAGAGTCCATGAGTTTCGGCAGATATGTCCCTGACTTTGAGTGGACCGTTAAAGAAAGACATGGGCGGTTTGCCAAGAAGTAAGGCCCATGGTGTTTTTTGAAGAAGGTCTCCAAAGGAGTTTATGATGTTGATAACGCCTCCGCATGAAGAACCCGAGAATGGTTCAAGCCCCTTCCTCATGGCGCCAATTGCTTGGAGAGCAGTTTGCTTTCAGAAGCACTAAGCAAATGGAAGCATGGACCACCACGCAACCAGATGTTCAACTCACCCCTGCACTGGCTGGAACAACGACCAAACCGACTCATGATGCAGCTTGACTTGCTAACTCACTTGGCCTAAACCATCTGCCATCCTTTGCTGGCCAAGGTTTTCTTCCTTCAAAGAAGGGTTTTCCTTGGGCTTTCTGCTGTGGTCCACCAGCCAGATATTGACAAGCTGGGTACCCAGCCGAGTGTCAACGACAAGGGTGCATTGTTCCCCGGGGGCTGGGGGTCACCCACCATTGATGTTTGCAGGTTGTAGCGCCCAGTCCCCATGAGTCATAGTTGTCGAGTGGCGCTGTCGCTGGGAACCCCCACGACACGGGATGAGCCCACCGGGCGGTGATGTGGATACACCTTGCAATTCATGGGTCGCGCGAGGTGTGCGGAGCAAACCACGTGGTTGCTCCCAACCTCAAACAACATCCAAGCCGACAGGGCCAGACGAAGCGTTTTGGATCCTCTTGCTTTCTTCCGCCATGGCCTCTGGGGCTTTGTGTGGAAAATGGGGCAATCGGCCACTTGTGATACCAATCCCTTTCAAGGTGATCATGTAGGGGGAATGGCTCATGATGGTACTGATGGACAACATCCATGCTGCTTTTCACTTGTGATTTGTGGTTTGGTTTCCCTCATAGAGTTTCGTCCATCCACACTCATGCCTGGCATAGTTCTCACCATGGGCTGGGGGTTAAGCCCCCCTTAAGGTTTCCCCCCGTCCCCTTTCCCCCCCAAGCCCTCCCCCCCCCACCCTAACCCCGTTAACCCCCCCTAAGCCCCCCCCCCCACCCTTAAGCCCCCCCCCACCCTTAAGCCCCCCCTAAACCCTCCCTTTTAAGCCCCCCCCTCAACCCCCCCCCCTTAAGCCCTTCCTTAAGCCCGCCCCTTAAGCCCCCCCACCCCCAACGAAGGTCCGAAGGGCCTTGAAGCTTATCCACGCACGGCACAGGTGGGCCTTTTCCTGCGGCTCGGGCGTTTGGCCAAACGCCGACTGGTCGACGGGCCTGGGCTCGTCCTTTCTTTGATGGCACCCTGTTTCAAGGTGGTTGGGGGTGGTTGGAGAGGGAAACCAAAAGGACACGTCAATCAGTTTTCTTGGGGGGGTCCCCTGTTTTAAGACAACCGCAACTGGCCTGAGTTTTTCAGAGGTCCCGTTTTGTGTCTCCATTGTTCCCATGGCAAGGTTCTGCTTGCGTCAAGCCCTGCCCACTCAGCGGTTGACTCGGGGAAATGGGGGGCTTCATGGGCCTTCGGCTGCAACTCGACGCTGTGATCCATTAGCGTCCGAACTTTTGAAGCTTTCTGCTGTCAGGGGTGTTCTTCATTTTGGCAAAGCCCCAAAAGTATCTGGGGCTCATTTTGATAAAGCCCCAAGATTATCTGGGGCTCAAAGTATCTAGAGCCCCAAAAGTTTCTATTCAAACTCTTTTTTCTGGGCAGTCAGAGTAAGCTCAACCTCCCAGTTTCCCACTTTGGGTAACCAGATCCGTTTTCCCTTTGGTTTTAGGGTGGTGAGAGGGTTACTTGTAGAGGTAAATGGGTAGCTCGTCTTTTGTTGAGGGTACCCCTTTTTGGGTGGTTTTCCAGAAAGACCGACAGGAAAACCGCCATTCCCCTAAAAAACAAGAAGGACACCCACATGGATCCACGTGCCCCAAAAACAGGCGCGGCTTTGCCCATGCCCAGATTACATGCGCGGCCTACCCTTTGAGGCCACCAGGGGCCTCGGGGGTTGCTATTTCTGGCATAAGCAAAGTTAAAAGTGGCATAAGCAGGCCACGTGTTTGCAATCCGGCACGGACAGCTTGACACATCACATAAGCAAAGTAATACATCGCGTGTTTCGCCCTGGTGTTCCGGGCAGTGACTCCTAAATGGTCGATGTCTCACTTCCTGAGTTCCTGGACTTTGAAAACGGGAAGCCCATTCTAGTGGCAAATGCCAATTTGAGTCTTGGCGGCCCATCCACTCAGGAACTCAGATTTGGAACTTGGGGATTGCGCTTCTCTGTGGGTTCCCCGAGGTTGCAATCGCCCAGTCCGCAGATGTGGAGGTTCCTACCGCAGTCCATCCAGGATCGACGGAGGGGGGCGGGGTACCGGTACTCCCAAAATGCCTTCGGTGTTCCCTTTGGCTTCCCTTCCCCCACCAAAAAGGATGGTGCCGAGCCTCAACCAAAACTTTGGTGCATTTTGCTCGGATGTTAGGACTTTAGCTTTTTGCCAACTAATGGGTTTTCTGTATTAAGCCACTAGAAGTTATTCACTTTTAGCAGGGGAGCAGAGTTCGCAACCGAGCCTCAAGACGAGCCATGTCTTTTCCGAGCGAGAGGAAGGAGTCCTCCTGCTTCGCCCTTGGCCCAAGCGCTTGGAGACCCCGAGCCCAAGGCTTCCAACGGAATCCGGGAACTGGAGACGAGACGCGCCATGTGTCACTCCGTGAGTTGGACTTTATGCCAGACTTTTTGGGTTTGGGACATTTTAGAGGCAAACACCAAGTGTTGAACTTAGCCGACAGGTTTCACAGGCCCATCTTTTTCGGAATGGTGGCACGCCTGACAATCCAATCCCCCAGCATTCTATGTTGAGTTTCTCGCCCACTCGCCCACTTGGTTCGCAGGAGGCATGGCTGCGTTTCCCCAAGTTCCGCGCCCACGTGCTGCTGCACGACGCTGGGCTCTCCTTCAATGCTGGTTTCATATCAGGTTGGACACAATCCATTTCAGAACACAGCCAGGAACAGAGTCGTTCTCTAAGGGTTCTTAACGAGCAACCACCAATGTTGGTTCATGCCAAACCCTTGGGACCCTTAGGGAACAACCCGAAAACAAACTTAGTTTATTCGTACAAACCAATTACAAGCTTTTCTGCAAGAAATGGGCCAGCTACCCACCCACAACCTGGATTTCCCGCAGAATTATTCTTGGCCTTTCTCGTGTTAGATGTTCTGCGGACACATGATCCAGCGCTCTTCATCTCTTGGTGGTCCGTCAGCTTCGTGGGTATAGGTGAATGCGAGTTTCGTCCTGTAGGGTTCTTAGATTGGCCGGTGTGTGTCTTTCCGTTGTTCAGTGGCACTCTGTTTCTTCTTTTTGTTTTGCGGCTTCCCTATTAAACAAAAAGTCTTCCCCCAAAAGGGTTAGGGCTCCCAGTCGCTGCACAACTGGGTTCCTTCCTGTTGTTTTAACACGGCCGGGCCCCGGGCCGTGACCGCCTCGAGGACGTGTCCGGCTGGGACGTGCCGCTGTGGCGGCGGCACCTGGGAAAAGCCTTCGGGGCCTTGGGGGGCTTCCACTGGTGCGGCACAGCCCGGAGACCCGGAGACGTCCGAAACCTGGGTGGAGGGGGGGGGGCAGTTGAGAACCGGACTAGGTCCCCCAGCCATTAGTGCCCTTTTACCGGTTCGTTTTTGGGGGAGGGTTCCCCTAAATCGACTACAGAAAAAAAGGGTAGCCTTATTCTAACCTCTCTACTGGAGGATCTAGGAGTCCTTGGAGAAAAAGCATCCAGAGCAAGACTTTCTTTTTACGAGGGGAGGCCAGAAAAAACCGCCTTTACAAGGGGATCCTTTGAGTGAGCTGGCACTTGGGAGATTTTGAAGACTGGCACACACGTGTTCTTCCATTGACTTTTTCATCCACTGGAAAGAATGAGGACATATGCCCAGTGATAAATTCCTGAATAAAAACCACCAGGAGAAGACAACATATATTATTTTCAGCAAATGGAAGGTTGCAATGAACCGGAAGGGCATCGGGCCTAGCAAAAAGGAAACCACAAGGGCTGGTTTAGGGTCATTCATTCCCTGATGTTGGAATTTGGTCACTTGGGAAGCCTTTGGCCCATCCATTCTAGAGGCGAGGGAAGCATGAGATCCCTCTTCTAGGGCGAACAGTGTCTTTTCGCGGGTCTCTCTTGAAATGATTGCGCATTTGTTTTTGTTTGGCGTGCACTAAGTATGAACCAGAATGAAACGTATGAATCTGGGTTTGGGGCGTTTTAAAGAACCTGGACATCAGCCGCGTGGTCATAGCTGTAGTAGCTGGCAACATACTTGCTGAGTGCTTGAGTGAAATCAGAGGTGACAAAGGCTGGTTTCCGTGTGATGGGAATGAATCGGCCGGAGCAGGTGCAAATCCTTGACAGCCATCTAGCTTGGTGGTTCCCAGCCATCCTCTTAGACTAAAAGATAAACTTTTGACGGGGGATCTGAGGACAGCCCAGTTAGGTGACGTTAGGTGCCCATCTGACACCCCAACACCACTGGGATCAGCGTGAGTCCCAGTGGCCGGAATGCCAGGTGAACCGCAACCCAGAGCTCAACCCGAGACTCGCGGAGCGCCGGCAGAACGACAACTACTTCAACAAGGTTTTCACAATGCGCCTGGGACAAACCCGATTGGGAGTATTTCAAAAATAGTGGAACCCCCCAAAAAGGCGGGCTCCTTTTGGTTTCCCTTTCACCATCCAAGAAAAGGGTACATCAACACACACGCCTTCAGCTAGTCCGGTTTTTGCCGCTTCGGTTGAAAAAGAGACGTGGTTTCAGATTCCCAGGAGAGCTGTGGGTCGCCCGTTGCTGGGGACCTTGCAGGTCCTTCCCAAATGATCGGTTAGCTCCTGAATTTCTGAATTGATGGTGAAACATAGTGCCACCTTTCTAGTGTGCTTCATTCACCATTTCCCGAATTCCTGCTTTCTCAGATTACAACAAGTATCCAGAAGGTTTACCAAAGGATCTGAACATTTAGGATTGCGAAGGAAATCAACATGGAACCCCGCAAAGAATGGGGGGTTGCTCCAACGGGGATTTCTCCACCAATCAGAATTGTTTGACGCTTTGACTGGGCCAACTATGTTCTGTTGCTGCGGATGGTAGAGATCTCCATTACCTTTTTGAAGGGGAACTGTCAGACTGGTGAAACGGGGGCCAGTGCAAAGCAAGTCTGACGGAGGATTCCGCCTCATATTCGTGCGAATTCAAAAAAAAGGGCGGTCCGGCTAGCTCCAGTCCTTCCATTTGGGCCAGGAAATGGTTTATTTCCCCGGTTGGTTTTTCAAAAACTACTGGAGGTCTCATTTTGGTTTCCAGGAGACTTGAGCAAATGGAGGAGTCGACTTACCCGAGGCCTTGGGGCTCTGGGGCCCTGGGAGCCAAGAATCCCACGCGATTCCGCGAGGTTTCCACCCGTTAGAACGCGTGGGTCCGCGGCGCGGCTTCAAGACTTGGGAGTTGAGCCCACCACTTGGCTGTCTTACCTCTTAAAAAACACAACTTTTCTGAAAAATGTTTGGGGGTAACAGGGGCTATAGGAGTTAATGTTAGCCCCGGATCTAAGTAGAACCCCTGGTTGATTAATTGATTTTGATCGGGGGGTGTGCAATTCCTTTTAGTGGGGGTTCAGACCACTTTCGGAGGGAACACCCCCCTAATAGTGGGACGGGTCAACATTAATCCTGGGTCAACATTAGAGAGCCCACCACTTGGCCGTCGTGCCCCGGAGCGCTTAAGGTGACCCTTGCATTGAAGGATCATCTTCGTGCTCAAGTCTTGCAAGGCTTCAGTTCGTAAGCACCGCAAGCTGAACCATCCACCTTCGATGGTGCGTTGGATCGGTGGGATGCCTCCAAACCATCGGGCTCCAAACCGATCAGAGAGAAGCTGACTGGTGGTTTCCTTTTGGGCTAGCCCTAGGTTCATGTCCAAAGCCCTGGATTCCCTGAGCACCAGCAAGCTACCTGTCCGAGCTGTTGACTCCAAAGGCACTTGCCAGGCCATGCTGGCGGTTCATCGAGCGGCATGCCAGGGCGTGCTGTAAGCGCGTGTAAGCGGCGCAAAAGAACACCGCAGCCAGTTCTTTTGTGGGACACAAACCCGTTGGTTATGCATGGAGCCGGGGGTAGGAGGATTGCAGCCTAGGCTTGACGTGGCAAAGCACCAGGGCTACCGGTGGGTGGTCAAGGCTCGCGGGCTTTGAAGCGGAGCGGAAAGGGAAAGGAGGGAAAGGAGGGGGAACATGGGTTCGGTCCTCCTGGTTTCCATGGGGGGCCAAAAAGGAACCAAACAGTTCTCAGGCTCCTGCCAATTCCGGGCTCATGGTTTGGATGGTTTCAATCGAGTTTCAGGGCCCTGAACTCAACAACTTAGCAAGTAGGGGCTGACCTGGCAATGGAAGGAACATACGCTTTGTGGTGAAGCGACCCAACAAACCCAACGCCTCTGACTGCCTGTCTATTTTGGCACAGGGCGATTTGAGGGTTCCTGGCTCATTGGGCATGAGTCGCGAAACCAGTTGAATCGAGCCCTCTGAACGGCGACGGTGTCATGTTCGTTTCCTGTTCGATTGGAAACAGAACAGTGTTTCGGTTTGACACACCCGATTCTGCTCACTGGTCATCAATCATTCTGGGAGGCTTCTGTCAAGTGCGCCGACATGTCACCGAGACGTAGATACCGACATGTGCCGGCCCATGACAAATGCCCAACCCGCTTCGCTCGGACTTCGGAACCCCACGTCCGAGTTGTCGCACGTCGAGATGTGTCACCCCCAGCCTGGCTTCTTGGGATTCAACGAGACATGAAAAGGGATCCTACGCCACCTGCGAGTGGTCCCTAGCCAATGGGGTGCGCCTTTTCCGTTAAGCCGGCCCCAAAATCCACATTGGAAGAAAGGCGCCTTTCGATTTCTTCGGAGCCGCTTCAGTTGGACGACGACATATTCCTGCCGCCTTTCTCGTTGCCGCTCGCTTGCACGGCGGCCTTTTGACCTTGGAGTTGTTGTTATTGCTATTATTATTATTATTATTATTATTATTATTATTATTATTATTATTATTATTATTATTATTATTATTATCATTATTATTATCATTATTATTATCATTATTATTATCATTATTATTATCATTATTATTATTATTATAGTTATTTCCCTTTCCATGTTTTTTGGCTCGAAAAGGCGATCACCTGGTACTTCTGGGTCCGAACCGGGTTTTGTCTTTTGAGAGAACCTTCAGTGGTTTCCAACTGTTGTTCCCTTTCAGCACCAAAAAGGGGGTATCAACTCCAAAGACACCCAAACTGGGCTTGCCTTGTGCTTATCTTGTAGCCTTCCCCCTGTTTGGCCTTGCCATTTTTAGTGGCCTTAGCGGAGACCCCATTGCTCATACCCCTTGGCTTCCCCGGTTACGAGGGTATGAACATCAGCCAGCCTTTCGGGGTCAGTTCACCCAGGGGTACTAAGGGACAAAATCCTGCACCACTTAGAAAACCCTGGAATGATTCGATTCCCCTGTAAATACCAACAAGCAATTGCTTCCCATGGTTTCTCAGGTGGTGGATTTTGTCCACATCCACTGCATGTAAACATTTCAGATCTCTCCCTCCCGAGGATGTCGCTGGTGCGCAGTGGGCCCCTGGGAGACTATTTGGGCTGCGGCGCGGTGCTGCCGCTCACGCAGAATGGGATCCCCTCCGCAGAGATCTTCGCGCGCGCGTGGCTGCAGGAGACGACTGCCCGTTTTTGTCGCATGGCTTCCACTTGTTTGATGTGCGGGACCGGGAACTGGGGGGAGAAAAGGGGGGAGCTTTATGGGCGTGTCACTTAGAATAGGGGGCTCCCCCAAGAATGGGAAGGGTTTTCCTGTTGATTCCCTTTAAACTAAGCCCGGAAGGTACCCTCAACAAAAAAAGACACCCACTTGCTTTCTTGAAAAGGGGACTTAGGAACCCTCATTTTATTTTTATTTTTATTTTTTATTTATTTTTGAGAACCCTCAAGTTTTTTTTTGAGAAGCAAGGATTCCAGAGAAAGGGGGTGGGTTAGGAGGCCCCAAGCTTCCATTTGCTTAATCTGTTTTACCCTCCGGTGGTTTTACAGGGAATGGATTTCACTACGAACAGTAGTTGTAGCATGTTTCGGTGGAAACCAACAGAAAAACACACGTTTGGAGATCCCATACTTGGCACACAGCAAATGGAGGCATGGGTGCGGGGAGAGGAGCGTTGGGTTTATGGCAAAAGGGAGGGACTGATTAAGGTGGGAAGGTTTGGTTTGGTTTTGTTTTTTTTGTCGCAGAGGTTTTCTTTGGTTTTGGTTTGGTTTTTACAGAGGTTTGGGTTTGTTTTTCAAGTTTCACCCAGCCCGCCAATCTACCAGCCATCAGTCCACTTTTCCGTCCGGGTTCAGGAGACCGAGAAAACTCAACCTGGGCAAAGGGTTAGGCGCTAGGGAGTCCGCCGCAGTGAGGGGTGGTTGGCTTCACTCAGAGGGCAACCCCTGGTTCGTTCTGTCAACCTTGCGGTACATAGTCAAAAAAGGTGGAACTCTGGATACGCGACCTCACCGAGCGATTTTGGTCCACCGAAAGCTCATACAGGTGCCTGGAAAGGAGTCATAAGGTTGTTGTTTCTCAAACCCACGGGTTTGGGGCAGAAGACAGACCCCTCCTTTCGAAGCAGTGTTCATAAATGTCTCGTCTGCATCTTCAAGAGGTTGTCTTATCTATCCCCTTGTTCCAGACAGACCCTCGATGTTCAACCACGTAAGGCAAGAAGGTTGTAACCAATGGTTATAAGGGAAGTAACCCAGCTGTGCAATTTAGGAGTTTGGCCGGCCGTGACCTACTAATCTGACAAGCAGGATATCGGAACAATATCTATTTGTAGAATTCATGTTTAAATCCTTCATGGTGGCTATGTACGTGGCTGCATATCCCAGCAGAGTACCGGGCTTTCACAGGGATCCCCCCATTTCCCCCCTTTGGGGTTCCAACTTCCAAGACCTGAACCTTCGAAGGCTTCGAAGTGGTTGGTGGACGCCAACGGGTCTGTCAACTTTTTTCGGGGGACCCCCCCGAAAATGGCTTCGGTCTTCCTGTTGGTTTCCCCTTGAACACTGGGGCACTGCGAAAAAAAGAGAGACATACCCAAATCTCCAGCTTTTTTGGTGTCCACGCGGCTCCCTCCAAAACCGTCTTCCGGTCAGACGGGTCGAAGTGAGCGACGTGAGGAGGAAGACCGGGAGGCGCTCTTCCGGTGCTTCGCCGGGAGCTCGGGGCAGTTCTGCCTGCCGGGGAGTCTGATGACCTGCTGCTGGAAGGCACAGCCGGAGCTGGGGATACCGGAGGCCGGGCCGACAAGCCCTTGAAGCCACCATCTCAACACAAACGGGTCATGCAAACTTGGTTCTACAGGGATTTGTTCCAAAAGTAAAGACTCAACACGTTGGGTTTATTGTTGGTTCCCTTGGAACCACCCCACCTCCCAACAGGACGGCGGATGAACAAAACCCAAGCCGATCGGCACCAGTGATTGGAAGACTTGGAGCCACCACTCGCAGTGCTGATTGGCATGGATCTTGCCCATCCACATGTGCCATGGTCAAAAGACCGGTTGCTTTGCTTGGGGTTATCAGGGATGGTCATCCCCTTTGTAAGGATCCTTAACAACCATCATGCTGATTCCCGATGTGGATGAACAAACTCCTGCGCTACCTAAGAAGCCATGCTTGGAGCCACAACGTTTGGCACTTACCGGGGAATCAGATCTCCTTCCGTGGGGTTTGTTAGAACGGCTCCTTTTCGACCACCCACAGTATCAATTGCGAGCCATGGGGCCGTAAGCCAAAGATAAAACGGAGTTTTTGGACCATGACTCACATGAAGTCCTTTGGGATGGTCATCCACCCAGTGGTAAAGATCCTGAACAACCAGTACTTAATGATTCCTATTGAGGGATGGCCACAAGCAGTGTACCATGGCTCACATGAAGCCTCGTACTCGGTTGGCTCAGCAGGTTCCGGTCCCGGACCCCTGGGACGAGATCTCCTGGTACGGAGAGGCAGGAAGGGGTGGGGGGGGGGGGGGGGGCCAGGGTTGTGGGGGAGCCAGCAAATGGAGGAACCCCGAAATGGAGGAACCCTCAAAGGTTTTGCTTTCTCACCAGGGTTGGTTGCGAATTCCTTTGAAAGACCCAGTATCCAGCCCCTGGTCCCCTTGAAGAAGAAATCAAAAGGAGTTGCTTGGAACCATATTTTTGTTTCTTTACATATTGAACACAAGGGAGTTGGTTGGAACAATCGTGTTGTTTTTTTACATATTGAAGGCAGGTGGTCTCAACCCTGAGGTGGCGGCACGTTTCGACCTGAAGTGGCACAAGAACCACCCTGCGCCACGGCGGGAGTTTTTTTGTTTTCGCCCGGGAGCTCGCCCGGGCGTTCGGGAACTCGGCGGTTTCGGCACGGGGTTTGCGATTGACTTGACCGCCTTGCACGAAGTAACCCCTGCATTTGGGTCTTAAAACAGGGTTTCTGAGCCATTCCCCTTTTTGGAGCCTTAAAAAGTGGCAAGCTTAGTGGTTATTGAACACCAGTAAATTGCAACTTTTGAAGGGGCCCACTTGGTTAAAGGTCAAAGCTCAAAACTGCAGTGACCATAAAGCCTAGGGATCCGATCCCTTGGTTTTCTGTTTGCCCTTACACCAAGGGGTGGACCCCCGGTCCCATTTCGAGAAACCCTCAGTCGGCTCTTTTCAAATTTGACACTTCCAGACATTTGTTTCTTTCCTCAAAGGGGGGGTGAAAGACAGACAAACCCTACGTCCGATGTGCGCGGGTCTGCTGGGCTGGCCAGGAGTTGGATGTGCCCGGATTTTGGTTTCCTTCTGCTCTGGAAACCCTTGGAGCAAAGTTTGGAGCGCCGAAATGAGCCCTGGTTCGCCTGGTTCCACCAGGCCACCAGGGCCATCTGTTTTCCAAACAGGACACCTATGTCTGGGAGCTTTTTCTGCTGTATTCTGCTTCAGCTCGTTTGGCGTCATCTTCGCCGGCTGCGAGCCTTGAGATATTCGTATGGGTCAATTTTTCTCTTGTCGTCTTTCAGGGGGCCCCCACCCAAGATTGTGGTTGTCCTTTTTTGGTTTCCCTTTTTAAAACCACAGAACAAAGGGGTACGGGCTCGGGGGGAAAAACAAAAAAACATCAAGTTACTGTGATCTGCGGCAGTTTTGGGGATGACGTGGGTTGCGCAGCAGGCCCCCCCTTCTGCCATTCAGAAAAATGTCAAGGGACACATTTCACCGCTCACAAATGATCAGAGACAGGACGGTTCTCAGCCGAAGAACTGCCACATGTTCCGGAGAGCCCAGACTCCTTCTGGCTTCTTCAAAACCAACGGACTGCAAAAGTAAAAGGCAGTTGTTCATGGAACAAACAACAATTTACTAGGTCCCCCAGTAGTGCCCTTTTATCCTTTTTTGGTTGGGAGGGTTCCCCTACTAACATAGACGACATAAAAAAAGAAGCAAAAACAACTCGGGCACCAACTTCTTCTAACGTCAAACTACTGGAGGACCGATTGGGTGTAGGCGGCGACCTCCGGTCAAGGTCCTTGACCCGAGGTCTCGGGGAATCTCAGCTGCATGCTGCTGGCCTTGAGCCTGTCCTTGAAGGGGATCGACGCCAAATGGCTGCTGCCCTTTCATGACAAGGCGCGAGGGAAGTTGGACTTGACCCGCTATGCTATGAGCCTATGTTATGTGTTTCTTTTGTGGTTCGAGCCCCCCAAAAAGGCTAAGGGCCAACATACCCCAAACTATGCACGGGGTATACAGGGCACATACCCCAAAGTCCATCCCTGTATAAGGCCTATAGCTTAAAGGGAATCTATCACTACGGAAAGCATTTTCTTTTTTCCAGGGGGACGAAACAGCACGTACGGGGCGCCACAAGGCGCCTCGCAGAGCCTGGCCCGAGCCTGGCTCTGGGCCAGGCCAACATCATCGTCGACGGGGAGTTCAGCTACCCCTACTTCGCCAACAACATCTTCTTGATGCAGACGGAGCGAGACCTGGCGGCCTGTCGCGCGCGTTTCTGTGAGTCACAGGCGTCCAAGGCGGCCCTTCACGTTCTGTGTTTCTCGCAGGGGTCCTTGAGGGAAGCCTGAAAAGGGGAAGTGATCGTGGGGCAAAAAAATCAAACCACCATGAACCGCCTAAAATCTCCCCCCCCCAAAAAAAATAAATAAAATAATAATAAATAAATCCAAGCTGCAAGAAGTTTGATGGCGTTTCTGCTCAGAGGATGTGTGTAGGTCGCAGGTTTTGCAGCAACCTTGCTCAACGTGAACTCGTATTGCTCAATGGGGAGATACTTGGGCAAACGGTTCAATCTGCATTTCCCTCCTTCCCACCAACATGGCACCCACCAGCGGGTCGTTAGAGCAACATGTCGTCTAGAGCCTTTAAGCCTTTCTCCCTTCTGAGAGGGGCTTTTGTCATGTCTGTGTGCCCTCGGATCACACCTGGCAAAGACTTTTTTGGCCGACATGGGAAGTCGCAGGAATCCTAAAGGGGACAGGGGGGTTCGCAAGGGTCGCAGGCGCATCCATTGGTCGGATTTTTGATTGGGGACCCAAACTGGTGGACATCAGAATTCGGTGGGGATTGTCCAACAATTTGACAGGTTCCCTATTAAAACTCATAGCCATCTGAAGAACGGGATTCTCCTTGCTCCCTCAAATGCTAAGTGTTTGGACCCATGGCCATTTTGGACCTTTTGGGGGCTGCTTTCCCATAAATAAGCCAAAACTAACGCTTAGTTACCCTCGTTGAAAGGTGAACTTCCCTGAAGCGAGGCCTGCTCAGCAATTTTGGCCGGGGCATTCCCAATTCCGGAAGGTCGCACAGGCATCATATTTATATATATATTTTTCAGGGGCGCACACGCAACTGGATGTGTCCTTTTTGAGAGTACCCCTTTTGGGGCGGTTTTAAAGGGACACCAAAACGAAACCACCGTTTTGGGGGGTCCGATGTCTAAAAAAAGACGAGCCTCACCGGAACCCATGTCTTAGAAGCCGTTTGGGCCCATCCCAAATCCTTTGTCCAAGCGACCTCCTCAAAATAATCTCAATGCTTAAAGGGCAGCCCAAACATGTTCTGGGGCATCCATATTTGCCCTTGAAACATCACCCCACCGAAGAGGCAGATCCCTTGAGATGGGCGTCCCAACAAAGAACACCACCATTTTGGGGGGTCCGATTTCCGCCAAAAAGACGAGCCACCCAGAAAAGACGAGGCTCACCCAATTAGAGGCCAGGCGTCCCGACCAAATTTCCTGAGACGTCCAAACCAGCGAGGATATGTCCGGGTCTTGCAGCACCCCAGCTGCTGCTCTGGCACGGACGAGCGCGCCATGAACCGGCTCCTGCACGAGGAGAGGGTCCCCTTGTGCTTCAACCAGGAAACGCCCCTGGAAGCGAATGAACCTGCGATCGGTGCGGTAGGTTGGGATTGCGACGCGGTAGCTTGGGAAGGGAATGAGCCCAGGAATTGGTCCCCTTAAATGAAAACCCACCCGCTGGGTGGTTTATGAGGGTCATTCCATTTCTCATTCCCTGAGCACCAGCGAGTGAAGCCCCAAGCTAGGAGTCGTTTAATGTAGAGTTTGGCCTACGTAGCGGGGACTTTGGGGTTGGAGGAAAGCTTGCTTCAACTATAAAAGGGACCTTTAGAAATTAATCTGGCCAGGAGAGACCCTCCACAAAGCTTCGCGCTTGTGCAAAGGATGTCTGGAAAAGGGTCCCTAATCCATAAACTTATGTAGCAGATTGGGCTTTAGGTTACCACTTTTCTTGATACTCTCAAGGCATCCCCTGTGTTTGAATGGCTACACTGATAACCTTGGGGAAGGGAATCCTACTGTGGCGTCACAACAAGAGCCCCATTTCCGCTACCATTGCTGAAGCCTCCAAAGGGCTTCGATCGTGGGCGCGCCATCCATGAGCATCGACAAACAGTCCGGTGAATGGGAGCTTTGAGAAGTGAGTAGCTTGGATACACGTGTGTTCCAGGCTCATGTTAGCTTTTGGCATGGAGCAGCTTTACCGTGGCTGGTTGTCCTGTGGTGTTGGCCCAGGGCAACGAGAACCCAGGATAAACCCTTGAGCCTGGTTGATGAATAGAGGGGTTCCGTCTACTGTAAGCGGGGCTCCTTCACTTTGGGAGCAACCCCTCCAAGAATACACCGTGGTCAACACATGGGCTTGTGCTGCTTCAGGGTCCCCTTTTCAGGCTGGCTTTAAGGATGAACCAAAAGGAAAACCCGCCGTTTGGGGGGGGGGGGGGCGGGATCCTACTTTGACGTGTACCCCAAATGGACTAGTCTTAATAGGAGAACCCACAAATGGCTGGTTTTCCTCTGGTTTCCCTTGAGAAAACCAACCCAACAAGAAATGGCAAGACACCTACCCGTTTGCAGGCGTCCCGAAAATTATCCCCAGGATTCCAGAAAAAAGGGGGTGTTTCTGTGTCGGGAGCCCCCCACATTTTTCGCGCTAATCGGTTGGCTGCGGACGGCGATTTGTTTCGTCGCAAATCGCCGCGTCTGAGGTTTGGAGTTCACCCCGCCTGGGGCAACTTCGGGCAGACCTTGAAGAATGCCATCGAGGTGCATCGGCCTTTGGGGTGTGTGGACGTTGGATCGGAGCAATGGGCGTGGCTCTGCTCTTTTTGTAGGGGGACCCCCCAAAAATGGTGTTTTTGTTGTCCTTGTGGTTTTCATCTAAACCATTTAAAAAGGGTACCCTCAAAAATGGGGGAACCATACGCGACAAGAGAAAGCGCTCTTGTCCTGGCTCCCAAAAATCTGGTTCTGAGCTCATTGGGCCGCTTTGGTGGCCATCATTTATATGTGCCATCAAGTTGGACAATGTTGACCCCATATTGATCAACCAACCAGTTTATTAATACGGGGGGGGGGTTCCCTGAACTTAGCGGGGAATCAGACCACTTTTGGAGGGGCCGAAAACCAAACAACCATCCCCCTACGAATAAACTGGTCGACTAATTCATATGGGATCAACATTCTTCTTCACTCAACATCATGGCCATGGGAGCACCAGCTTCTTCTTTTTTTAGACACTTGGGGCTGCTCATCAAAAGCCAATGTCATATCTGCTGGTGGGAGGCCATCAAAGTCACAGTTTCAATCTTTGACTCTCCCCCCCCCCCGGTTGGTCCTGGGATGCGTCGAACACGAGGCTGACACTGTGGAAGCGCTGCGGCGCTTCATGCCGGAGGCATTCTTCGCGGTGAGTGACGAGCCCGAAGAGGCGAGGAAAAAGGGGGGGGCGGCTGGTTCGCGGGTTCCTTTGGCCGAGGGGGGTGGGGTCTAGACTCTATTTCACCTTGTTTGCTTCTTCAGTTGCTTTCGTTCTGACTTGCTGCCTTTCTGTATTTAATGATTTATTGGTTCCTTCCTTATTGTCAAGCTCTTCCTTTGCTTCCTTCCTTTCTTCCCGCATTTCTTTCTTGGTTGGCTGTCCTGGCTGGTTTGTTGGTTGGTTGGCTGGCCTGTGTGTGTGCGTGTCAATATTTGAGATCTTCTATTCAGCACCAGTAGCATCACCAAGCTGCGGCCTTTGCAAGCTCCCTACTTCATTTTTATCCTGAGTGCTTACTTTCACGTTCTGGAAGGCTGCGGCCTGTTTGACATTCAAGGTACACAAACCCAGCCATTGATTGGAGACATACGCATCAGACACAATCTAACTGCTATCATAGTATAAGCGCATGCCAAACTCGTTGCAAACGCATTTGAGATGAGACGTTTCATGGCAGGGCCGATTCACCCCCAGAATTGTGGTTTTTGTTTTGGTTTCCCTTTAAAGCCAACCAACAGAGGGTATCCTCAAAAACTGACAGACTCAAGTACGCACCCCTTATGCACACAAGCAAACCAAACCAAACCAAACCAACCTAACCAAACCACGCTAACAAACAAGCCAAACAAACACAAACAAACAAACAAACAAACAAACAAACAAACAAACAAACAAACAAACAAACAAACAAACAAACAAACAAAGGGCCAACGGCGCACCACAGATGGCCGTCGTTTCGGGATGTCGGCCCGGCGCCTCTTTGTGCGCGGCTTCTGCGGGCGCGCGGGGAACTTGCGGCGGGAGCGCCGGGCAGAGGAGCAGGCCGGAACGGACGGCACAGAATGCCTGTTTTGGAGCCTTCCATTTGTTGAAATGAATGTGCTTTGTGTTCCCTGGTTGGTTTTACAGGGAAGCTATCACTACTGGACATATTTCCAGGGGACTTAAGCAAATAGAAGTGGACCTTTGGTGGGTTGGCTCCTTTCTTCCAGGAACCCCTTGTGTTGGTCAAGGGATGTCAAGGGTCTAAAAAAAACAACAACACGGGTTCAGAATGCAGACCGGTGGCTTGCTGTTCTTTTTTTGGGCATCGGCGAGACGGTCATGGCCACTGGAGATGTATGAACTTTGGAACGACGTCGACCCAGGAAGACGCCGCCTTTAAGCAGCCAACGCCGGAAGAGTTTTGAGAGACTCCTCTTAAAGCGATCCCTTGTCCACTTGGCGCGTGTCTTTTTTCGGGGACCCCCCCAAAGCAAATTTGTGTTGTTCCTTTTGGCTTCCCTTTAAACTCAAAACAAAATACCAGCCGAAGAAGACACGGGCCGGTCTTTGGGGATTCCTTATGGCAACCTGGGCCCCAGAAAAGAACTTAGCGCGCGGCCGTGTATGAACTTCACTGTGATTGTATGTAAGAACAAGGGACTGGCCCAGATCGTTAGTTTCCTTTCCATACCTATTTTACATCGACATTTCAGGTGTCTTCAGTTTTGGCACTCCCCCGCTCCTCCCAAGTTTGAGAAGGAAAAGATGAAGGGAGCGAGTGTTATTTTCATTTCTCGAAAAAAGGGACCAGCCTGAAACCAACGCGAATTGCTTGTGAGGCAAACTTCACTCCAGCATCAGATGGTTTTTTTGACCCGTGTCCGTGCTTGACAGGTCCCAGTGGTTTTCGCCCCAGAAAACGCCGCGAGGTGGAGCGGTTCAACCGCATGCTGGACCTTTGCGCTGCGGCGGAGGACGACTCGCTGTGACTTGCGGGGGCCCGTACGTTTTCCATGGCGGTCAGGGAAGGTCACAGCCACGCCGGAAAGGGAGCTAAGCCCCATTGCTGATGGTTGGAAGGGTTTGCAGGGAGCTAAGGAGCTAGGAGTTCTGCAAGGAATTGGTAGCCATGATTACCTAGATGCATGGTCAAAAGGCCTGCGAAAAAAGCTTCAAAAGGGGCTAACGTAGACCAGGAAACAAAAGTACCTAATCATGGGGGTCGGTATGGCTACCTGTTGCTAAGGTTTTAGACAGCGAACATCATCATTAATGAGGGCCATGACCATGAATGACGTAGGGAGCTTTGACAAGGGAGGTTTGGGCTCTCCACTTACCATTTGGCCAACAAACATGGAAGTGGACGGGAGGGTTTTGGAAGGCTACTTCCTTCCCCCTTGCCTACTTCCATCATCATTAGGAAAAGGCTAGGCTTTGATTATGACGCAAACGACATGACCGAACATCAACCATGCGCAAACCAAAGTGCGAGCAACCACAAGTATCAACAAGCTTTGTTGCCTGAAAGAGAGGCTTTGTCACAATCGGGGATTCCTCTTTGGGACCAGGGTGACATGCTATGTCGCCTTTGAGGGGCGTCCAAATAGGTTTCCGCCATTTTAAAAAAGACAAAACAAGATCACACAACAAAGCCACAACTTTCGGTAAAAACCCGCCGGACCGATAACCGGCGCGGCAAAATTGGACGTCACCGCGATCATGGTGCAGCCGAACGTGCGCGGCGCTTGGGTTTTTGCACTTACCACAATGCGCCCCCGTGTGCGATGCTCCAGTGTAATTCACCAAAACGTGTGTTTCGCTGAGGCGAAACAAGAGAAACCAAGAAAAATGAGCAACATTTCCGTCACAACAATTCCTAGTTTTAGAACAAGCATGTGCGCCTTGCCTCAGCGACACACGCAAACCTGTATACGTGTTCTTTGTAAGTGCTTTGTGGGGGCCGTGGTCATCTCCGGGCGCCATGACTGCTGCTGACCTGACATGCTCAGGCGTACGACGGAGAAGGTGGGCGGGTGTGCTTACAATGCGCCAATGCGCGAATCATGCACTCAGGCGTATGACGGAGACACTGGGCGGGTAGGCATGTACGCAGGCGCATGACGGAGAGCGTAGGCGGGTGTGCTTACCGTGTGCCACGCGCATACTCAGGTGTGCGACGGAGAGCCTGAGCGGGTCTGCTTGCCGTGTGCCAAACACGCAGTCAGGCATACGACGGAGAGCGTGGGCGGAAGTGCTTGCCATGTGCCAGGCATGTGACACAGGTGTAGAACAGAGAGCGTCGGCGGGTGTGCTTACCGTCTGCCAGACTTGTACGCAGGGGGTGCGGGTGTGCAGGTGTTGGGTGTGGGCGGGTGTGGGCGGGTGTGTGTGTCTGTGTGCGTGTGTGTGTGTGTGGCTGGGCGGGTGGGTGGGTGCGTGTGTTACAGTTCAGTTCCTCGCGGACGAACCCTGCGTGGGTGATGTACAGCACGAAGTCCACAAGCGTGTAGCCGAGCTCATTGCGTGGTCCATGAAAGCGGCCACGTGTGGCACATGGCCTATGGCTGGGCTTCAACGGAGAGCGTGGGCGCATCGGCGTGCAAAAACCCACGTTTTGCGGCTCGGTAGAAAGTCCTCTTGCTTAAACATCCCAGCTGCAAGTTCACAAGGTCTATGGAGTTGATCAGGTTTCATCAAGAGCCATGTAGAGTTGGAAATCCATGCGCTTGGCGGGCGAACGAAAAACCATGAAACGTCACGCCGGTTTCCAGGGCAAAAACAAACAACAAAGCCACAACTTCCGGTTTGTCTCTACGGCAAAGCTACCCAAATTCGTGGTGCCCCTGGTTGCCCTTCGGGTCCGTCCCTAAGACGTGCCACGAGCGTAGGACTTCCATGGGGCGGAGCGGGTCTTGCAGCGGCTGGTGACGCTCGGCGCACGGTGAGCCATGAGGGAGCCCTGAGTTGAAGCCGAGTGTAGGTCCCATACTGTGGATGGACGAAATCCCAATTCGCACCACTTTGAAACATGGGAAACCATAATTTGTTGGTACTTACAGGAGAACCATCATTGTGGGGTTTCTTAGGTGGTGCATTTTGTCCATCCACAGTATCCCCTCAACTTGGGAGGTGGCGGACATGAATGATTTTGGGTTGCGCACATCTACAATGGTATACATAAACAGGTGTAGATTCTGGACACTATGCGGGCATCTGTGTAAATATATATGTATACATACACACATACACATTCATATATAAGTAAGGTATGTGTAAGACTTTTAATTGAATCCGAAGTCAGCTTCTCCGTAGGAAGGAATCGACGCCCAACAGCCTGAGCTTCGCACTGGTGGTCTGCGCCTCTGCAGAAGCCCGAGACTTGGCGAGGGCGGAGCACTGGCTGAGAAGGCCGGACTGCGGGGGTGAGGGGTGGGGTGGGTGGGTGGGGGTTGGTTTGTGGTGGTTGGGGCGGGGAGTGGGGTGGGCGATGTGTGTTGGTTGCGCTGGTTTGGTGTTGCGTTGGTTTGAGCTGGGGGTGAGTCTTTGGTAGTATTTTGCATTTTTGGTTTCCATCAAAATTATGGTAGGCTCGGTTTACATCCATGTCGAGTGTAGTTTAACATTGACTCAGCTCTCCGGCGACTGGTTTGTGTAGTTCCCAAGTTGTTGTGGTTGTGGCCTGTCGTTGGTTTACTTGCGATCTTCTCAATGGATTGGCTCGCTCGGTCAAAGTTGAGCTGGGGATCAGGGGCGATTTCTAGGCAGGCGATTTGCGCTTCCCACCTAGGTGAGAACGATTCGGGCTGGCCCGATTGCCCAATTGCCGCCCTTTCCTCTTTTCGGTTGCGCAGGGCGTTTGTTTTAAACTCCGAAAACGTCCGGCGCCCCAAAAAAATGAGGCTCCCCGGTTTTTCGCAGGGAGAGAGGCGTAAAAGCAAGCCACGGGACTGAGTGGCCGGAGAGGCGTCGGCAGGTTCTACGCGGAGCTGGGCCCGGAGAGCTGGCAGCATCCCAAGGTGGCCCAAAGCTTACAGGCCGCCGGGGCCAGGAGCGTGGGGCGGGTGGGCAGCAGTTGGTTGGTTTGGAGGTTTGTGTGGTTTGGGTGGGTTGGGTGGTTGGCTTGAGCGGTGGTGGTGGTGGTAGTAGTAGCAGCAGTAGTAGCAGTAGTAGTAGTAGTAGTCGTGGAGGTGGTGGTGGTGGTGGTGGTGGTGTCAAAATAAGTTTAGAAGGAACTTCCGTGGTACAACAACTTTTCAATCAGCCCGTGCAAGACTGACCCTCCCTCCAACGCAAGCTGACGAGTGGCTTGAAGACTTCCTCTCTGCCCAAGTCCACCCAACCCTTCAGCCCAACCACCCCTCCACCCAAACCACCTAGATCCCCTAGTAGTGCCCTTTCACCCTTTTTTGGGGGAGCTACTAAAATTGTCTACAGAAAAAAGTTGGTGCTCTTATTCTAACCGCCCTACTGGAGGGCCTAGCCGCCCAACCACCCAACGTCTCGTCCAAACTCTTCACAGGAGCCTGGCCGACGCCGCCGCGTCCTTCGGCGCCGGCGGCGCAAGCGCCGCGCCTCTCGGCGCGCGGCGCCGCTTCGAGGCGCTGCTGGAGGCCACGCGCGAAGTGGGGGGTGAGGGCGCCCTGGTTGGGTCTTTCTGTGAGGCTGCCCGTATTTTTTGGGGGGCGTTTAAGGGAAAACAACAGGAAACAACAAGAAACATCACCAATGTGGGTGGCTTGTGGGTTTTTAGGAATCATACCCCCCACCCCAAAAATAGGAAACACAAAGGTGAATTGTCCTCTTGGTGTACCCAGAAAGAGCCAACCGAAAAGGGTACCTTCAAAAAAAAGACAGACCCACATCACCCTTTTTGGGGGAATAGAGGAGGGAATTCAAAGATGAGTTGGTCCACCCAGCTGACAAGGGCACCCTCAACATGTGCACCTTGTGAGCATTCTGGCTCGTGTCTGTTTCGAAAAGGATACCTCACCCAAGTGGCTTTGATTGAATTTCCCCTTGGGTAATGTGCCAGGGGGACATGTCGCGATGACTTAGAAAAGTTAAAAAAGGTAATTGCAACACATGACATGTCAGCCCCAAATGGATTTGTTCAAAGACACCTATAGGACAAGTGGCGAGTATCGCTGCCAGAGAAAAAGGAGTTGATGTGAGCTCTTCTTCTTTTTTAAACGTTGAGGGGGGTTGGGTTGTTTGAAGGTTGGTTGAAAAAGGGGAAAACACCAAAACGGTTGGGACAACCAGTTGTTTTCGGCTGTCTTGAGGTTGGGTGTTGGTGGTTGGTTTTAAGGTTGGACCACCTGTTTTCTGGGATTTCTCATGCGAGCGACCGCTTGGCAGGGGAACAGCGACCGGGAGGAGATCGAGCGGGTCTTCCACGAAGCACTGCAGGCGAAGCAAAGTCTTCCGAAGCGCCCAGAGTTTTGTTGCCTAAGGGTCATGACCCCTCATGCAGACCCCCAGGCCCTCATCAAGAACCCCAACCCCTCAGGGGCCCTTGGAAACAACGAGTCTTGAGGGCCCAAAATCAATGGGGGGGTGGAAACAACCAGTTTTGAGGGCCCAAAATCAATGGGGATTCTTCGGGGAATATTATTTTTGGTGTGTGTGTTTTTCGAAGGCCGCCGGCTGAAAACGAAGCCACCAGGAGCACCACCATTGTGGCGATTGGGGAGGGGGGAGGGAGGGGGCTATTTCTTTATGGCTACTTTGTTGGATCTTTTTGGCAATAGTGGATTTTCCATTGGACCCAACAGTTCAACTTTTCGCAGAGGAGCAACAGCAACGATGATGTGCTTGTACTTACTTTACTTACTTTAGTGATGCCAATTCAAAGTTTAGTATTGCCAAGACTTACTCTAAATTGTGTACTGCTCAAGCCTGAGACAGGAAGCCTTTTTCCATCGTTTTTTGCTTGGTTGGGCGGGGGAGACACTGTCTGGTAAAGCGAGCCTCGAAACAGTCGCATTAGGAAAGCACTTTAGGTAAAAGCGACCCGAACTACAAAAACGGGTCTGACACTACCCTCAATGGGGTTGGCTGACTACGAAAGCCAAGAGAAACACCGCCGCTTTGGGGGGCGCCGATTTTGGCGCACACCCATTTTAGTCACAAAAACCTGAGAAAGATGTGGCTTTCTTAGACTGCCACTTCAAAAAACAACCTGTTTTTTTTTAACACAATCCACTCATGAAGTGAGAAGTGGGGCACATGCGCATTGAGTTGTTCAGTGAACCTACCTGTCTTTTTGTTGTTGGCTTCCTTAGAACCGTCAACCCCGAAAAGGGTTCCGATTGTTCACCTTTTGGGTCACTGGGCATCTGGGTTGAACGTGCCGGGCTTTCTTTGTGGGGGGACACAACTGGCTGGCGACTACAAGTCCAGCCATGTAAACCGTGATGCACAAATGGCGGGATTGCCTCAAAATCAGGGGATGTACTGGCAAAGTGGGTTGTTTCATGTTGGCTCCCTCTATCAAACAAACAAACACACGCACACACTAGCTTAGTTACACACATCCAGCCATGCAAATGTTGATGCAATGTTTGGACGGGAAGTCAAGCACGGATTCTTTGGAGGTATGCACGTTTCCTCTGACAGGTACCGGGGATTTCCCTACGATGGTATATGTGAAGCAAGCACATCCAAGCAACTCATGAAAAACACCCAGTCACACGGTGACTTTCAGGGCAGTTCTGTTGTTCCCCTACAGTACTTGTATCACGGGTATCCACCGTGGAAATTGCGTGTCATCGCGGCAACACACCTCCCCATCGGACGGAGTTGGTAGAGGCGAATTGGCAATCAAACGGACCATGTTCCATACAAACGGCCGAATTACATAAACAGGAACGGCGCGCATGGCCACAAGCCACATCGATGAAAGCGCACATGCTGCTTTCTTTCCAACAGGGCGATTTCGGTTCAGGATGTGCGACCAATCGGTTGGCACCCCTTCTTGGGTTTAGTTTACAAAGCAAGTACACGCAGAATGAAACCAGTTTCCTTGTAGCTACTTTGAATGCTCAACCACCCCCAACCACCCAACCCAAGCCCCAACCCAAAGGCGTATAGTTTCGGCACCTGGGCCCTGGAATCCTGGAAAGTTGCGAACCCAAAAGCGGACGGCCTGCGAACCCTAAAGCGTAAGGATTCCCCACAACGCCCAAGGCGGGTTGAGCGCTTTCTCCATAGAAAAGTGTAGACAAAGCATACTTCCACCCTCGTCAGGCAACTTTTGAAGTGTTTTGTGGCTCAAGGGTTTTGCAAACTCCAAACCAAGAGCACGCCTGGGAAACTATGAAACTTGCGCTTTTCGGGAGACACGGGGACCACCCAAACCGGTACGGCAATGGTGATTGCCCTGAAAAGGAATGTACCACAGTAAAAGACATGTCAACCACCTCCAAACAAAGCTGTTTCAAACTTAGGTCGGTTGGTGCCGCCCGCCAAATCGAACACTTGGATGTTAAACCCACTAGCAAGTACAGTACGTGGTAACCATGGTGTTGATAGGGGGACTAACCCGAGTTACCCCAGTTGTACCTACTTAGTTGCTAGGTTTGTAACTACGCTGATTATCTTTCTTGTTGGCAAATTGCAGCAGGGCGTGTTGTTTCAGACCTTGTCGACCTTGAGTTTCCCGCTTTCCGAGCATTTGAACGTGAGTCTTGTTTTGTTTGAGGGTACCTTTCACCAGGAACCAAGAGGACCTCCCCAATTTTTGGGGTCCTATTTTGAGACATCGCCAGGAATGGGAGCACAGCAGCACCGCCCGCAAGCACCTGTACCAAGAGTACTTGGCCTTTCTGGTGCGTGGGAAAGAGAAGGAGCAGGTGCAAAGCCGCTTGACTTGCGGTTGGGCGGGCAAGCTCTTGGGGCGGTGTATCTCAGGAAAACGTGCCGCCCTTTTCTTATGGGGCGCCAAAAAAAAGGTTCACCGTGTTTGACACCCCTTCTGCCGGCTTCCATTGTTTGCTGGTTTGCTTCTTTGAATGGTGCCAGCCAGGCAAGAGTTGCAGGTGTTCATAGTGTACTTTGTTCAGGTGCCGTTTCATGGTACCTTACGCCCCCCAGTTCGCAAGCTTCATTCTCTCAAGCTGACATGCTGAGCGCTCAGGTCGCTTGCAGGAGATGGCGGCCTTGGGGTTCCCTCCGGACGCCATCAGTTTCGGGGTCCTCATCAACGCGGTGGCGGAGAAAGGCAACTTTGGGGCATTTTGCTTGGATGTTAGGACTTTCACTTTTTGCCAGCAGGGGGGCAGATTGCAACCGAGGCAAAGACGTGGCCTACGCCCGGGACCTTTTCCGCCAGGCGGAGGAGAGCGGTGTCAAACCCACGCTGCCGCTGCTCAATTCCATGCTGAAGGTGTGTGCGAGAGCGGCGGCTCGGCTGGAAGCGCTCAGCAAGTTGGAGCCTTGGGGGTCTTCCGGGTGGAGGGTTTGGTGCGCGTGGTTGCCCTTTTTTTGGAGGGGGGTACCCTTTAAGCTCAATTGCAACAAGAAGGTGCATTGGTTTTACCTTTGGAGGGGGGTCAATTTTGAGTTCAACTGCCAACAAAGACCCTCTTTCGCCCCTTCCATTTTCCTCCGAGCCTAGTTTCCGCGTGGCTTGCAAGCTGCAAGCTCAAGCGCGCGCGCTCGCTCAGTGACTCAGGCAGACGTGGAGAGTGCGAAGGCCTGGTTTCAGAAGATCCACTCGGCCTCCTTGAAGCCCAACATCTTGTCCTTCAACCATCTGCTGGCCGCCTGCGCCACCTCCAGCATGTCCGAAGCGCAGGACGCCGATTTGTTTCAATAGAAGCGAGCGCCGAGCCAGAAATCCGGGGCTTGTCGGCTTGTCCCAAGAAGGCGGGGAGGCCAAGAAGGAAAACGAGTTTAAGGTTGGGACAGGAGATCTATCCTACCCTCAGTCGGTTGGAAAAGTTTGAAGCAAAACAAAAAAGTATGGAAGAAAAGCAGATAGACGAACGCCGTTCCTAGGGCCTCGAATCGCAGATGCCACCTTTGTCTTGGTGCTCACAAATGCTCAAGCAACCACATTCTTTCCGCATGCTTTGAGCTCGGGCCTTTCAAAGATGAGCTTTTGCCAGAAGGCCACAAAAACAAACAAACAAACAAACAAACAAACAAACAAACAAACAAACAAACAAACAAACAAACAAACAAACAAACAAACAAACAAACAAACAAACAAACAACGGCCACAAAAACAAAATTACAAACAAAAGGCCACACAACCACACAAAGAAAAGGCCACAAAAACAACCAAGCCATCACAAGGCCACAAAAAACGAGCAAGCACACAAAAGGCCACAAAAACTACAGTAGCTTCCAGCAAAAAAACAACCAAACGGGTTCCTACTTTTGGCAAAGGGAATTACCGAAAGTTTGGAGTGGTTCTTAGGCCTGGGGAACCAACATAAAAATCACTCACCAGCCGGCCTTTTTTTGACCAGCGCCGGGCTTCTTTGAAAATCGTTCGGTCCCGCGATCTTTTTTGTTTCTTTCCCCCAAACCTTTGTTTTACCGTGTGTTGATACGTGTTGTTTATCAATGTATACATATATATATATATATGCATGCTATAGAACAAATACGGTTATGTAAATATAATATATATATATATATAGATATGCTCACCCCCCCCCCCCCCCCCCCCAGGGCCTACCTTTTCACTGACCATATATATATATATATACAAGTACTACTTATGTGCCCAGAAGTTGTCCTCGCCCGGAGGAGATCCTGAAGACCATGCGCGCCAATGGTTTGGAGCCCGACGGCTTCAGCCGCTTGATGGTCTTGGCGAAGTCGGAATGTCCGGTTGGTTTGGATTTGTTTTTATTTTTATTATTTTTGTTTTTATTTTTCTTGCTGGTTTCTTTCAGTGGGTTTGCATTGCATTTTTTTCTTGCTGGTTTCTTTCAGTGGGTTTGGATCGGTTTCCCTGGATTGGGTTTGAAGCCAAGGGAAGGCACCGCGAGATCTGGGGGGATGAAACGGAAGGGGATGAAATGAAACGAGGAGGGTTAAATATATCAAAGGGAACCTCCTTGAGGATGAAATGGGGCGGTGAAATGAATTGCTTTCCCATTAATAGGGAACCTTTCTCAAGGGTACAATTTACATGGGACACTTTTTAACATATCCCACAAAACCCGCGGGGCTCAGGAGTTTGCCAACGTCCTTTACACGGCCGGTTTGTGGGATCCCAAGCAGGGTGCCAACTCACAAAACGACGAGACACCCAGAAGGAACCAACCCCCTGACCACATCCCTGGTTGGGTTTCTGTGGCTCCTTCCAGGTCCTTGGAGAGTCCAAGAGACGAATACAATTGTCCCAAAGAAGAAACACACATCCCTGAAAAGCTTTCACCCTTCCCCGACCTCCTTTTTTTTTTGGGGGGGGTCCTTGGGTTGGGAATAATGGGGTTGTCTCAAAACCAGCTTTCTCTTGGCTTCCGTTTGAAAACCAACCCCGAAGGGAGCACTGTCAAAAGGGACCTACACATACCCCCTACTCCAAATACCCTCTTGTTTCAGGGTATCATGTCGACCCTCTACATTCCATGGAGGTTTTTACCATGGAAAACCAGGTTTTCCCAAACAAAAATGAAAAACGGGTATGTTGAGTAGGGGATAGGTTTGGTGCCCTCTGATTCGTTGGCTACGAGCCTACACAAGAAATGGACTGGTTGACTCGCACCCTCCCTCCGACAATCAGCAATAATCTTCCATTTGCTTAAGATTTTTGTTTCTCCCTTGTTGGTTTCCAAAGGAATGTATTACTACGTCGTTTGTTTGTTTTTCCCCCCCCAGGGGGCGAAAAAAACAATTGGAGGTCATTGAAGCTGGCAGAAGGGTTTTGGACGACTCATGGGTTCACAAACAAAAAGGGACCCCGGCTTGTTTTCCATGTTGTTGGCGCGCATCGCTGGAGTGGGTGTTCGGGTCTTGAGGCACAAAAAAGGTTGGTTTTTGGTATCCCCTTGGTAAAAGCGTGCTGCAGAATGAGTTGATGGAAAAATGTGCGCGCATGTGTGTGTGTGTGTCTCTTTTAATGATACCCCATTTGTTGTTGCTTCAAAGGGGAACAAAAACAAGGAACACCACTATTTTGGGGGTTCCCCAAAGCATACAAACCCATATAAGATACTCACTTCCCGAGTTCCTGGACTTTCAACTTGTTTGGGTAGGCCACTCAGAAGTGAGGATAACAGTGTGAAACCGGCCCCCGAAACCCACGCCAACATTTTGGGGATCCCCGAAAAAAGACGAACCCAAAAACACAAAATGGGTGAAAGGTGTTCCCCAAAAAAAACAGACCCATAAAAGGAAAAATGAGTGAACGGTGTTTCCCCCCCTCCCTCAATTTGAGAACCCCCCCCACCCCTTTGGGAGGCTACGGCAGCCTCGTGAAGGCTGCTGCACGCGGCGAGGAGGCGGAACTGTGGCTGCGAAAAGCCGGGGAGGCAGGCGTGCAGGCGAGGAAACCGAGAAATCGGGGGGAGGGATGGGTAGGGTTGCTCCCAACAGATGGCCAAAAGTGGTAGACATGTGTCTGTGTGTGTGTGTCTTTCTTTCGAGGGTACCTTCTTTTGTTGTGCGGTTTTAAAGACAAACCAAAAGGACAACCTGGAGTCTCCATGACCCTTAAAAAAAGGGATCATTACCCAAAATAATGGGGTCGTTGACCCATTTTTGAAGGGTCATGGAGACTCCAGGAACCAACATGGAAAAACGACACTCCCAACATTGCCGTGGGTTCCTTGGGTTTCTTTGTGCCAGTTCCGAGCACTCGCGGTTCATGCGCCAGAAGTGTAGTCGGGCACATTTTCGCAGGCGTGATGTTTCGACTCGCCGGCTGGGCCCGGTGCGCATGTTGAGACCTCATGCATGTTGAGAACGCAGCCGTGAGTAGTTTTACATGTGTTGATAATTTTGGAGAGCCAAGTGATTGCTGCGCCCATACCTGCGCATGATAAGCACACCCGCTCAAGCGTACCCAGTCAGCACTGTATTCACCACTGCCTCCACGGCGGCTTGCTTCTTTTCTGCTTCTTTTGCCTTTGTTTGTTGGGCGGCTGCCTGACGGCATGGTTTTAGCAAAGGTGGCCAGAGTCAGGGGGTCTGTGAAGCACAAGGTGCTGAGAAGCTTGTGTTTGCTTTTTTTTTCTCCCCCGGACAGACTCCCTTCTTCACCTTTGCCACCCCAAAATTCGATGCCTGCCCACATGTGGGGAGTGTCTCATTGCAAGTGCTCAACCCCACCCCATAAACTCCCTAGGATGTTGAAGGACCGTTTTCTACAAAATGAGGGTTTCGCCTGGGTGAAATGCATGGCTTTGGGAAACGCAATGGCACACCGGGCAAAGCAGTCTATACAGGGCCCAGTCTTTTGGCGCACTTTGAAACACGCCTGCGTGAAAAACACAGACAACACCGCGCAGCGCAGTAAACAATCCGTCGGGATGTTTATCAATTTGTGCTTAAGTTGATCCTAGGTTCAGGGCGGCTTTTTAGATCCTTCACCCGAACCGAAACTGGTCTGGTGAAGGACTTGGTTGGCCATGGTTCAAAGCCAATGGTACCATTTCGTGATAGGTGCACCACCCATTTTAGTCTATTTAGTGGGGATTGGGATGTTCACTGGGCCTTCGGGCTGTTTGAACAACCGTCAAGGCCGATGCCGGCATGTACGTGGCGGCCATGCGGGCCTACTTTCAGCAACCCAAGGAGGCGAGTGGAACCGCCTGGTGCGGCCGGGGGAATCCGGTTGTCTTAGGTCCTACTGATGGACAAAATCCTGCACCACTAAGAAACCATGGGAAACCATTGTTTGCTGCTTTGTACAGGGTTTCTCGGGTGGAGCAAAATGGTGTCCGTCCATCCACAGTATTACTTTGACAGTTGGGTCGTCAAAGTCAGAAACTGAACATTGAGCTGAGCCCACGGATTTGTTTGCTTTTGAGGGGTTGAAGATAGACATATCCAAGCGTCTTTCCTGCGAAGCTGCAGACTGGCATGGTCAAATTGTTTGGCCGGCCTCAACCTGCCCATGGCTGAAAAGATTTCGGCGAAAGTTGTTGCGCGGTCCAGTTGCTTTCCTGTTGGACCAAGCCCAAATGATGACTGGTCGTGGCTGGGCTGGGTGTTCGGAGGGTCGTTTTTGTTCTTCGTTTCGCCTGGAATCTAACACATTGTGGTTGCTTCCTGGCATTGTCTTTTGAACGGGGTCTTCCTTTAGGTTCCTTCTATTGCTTCACGAAAGCCAACCTGAAGTGATTCCTGGAGATTTGGGAGGGTTCAACGATGTCGGCCTGGGGCTGACATGGCTGACATTTCTTTCAACTTAAGCTTGACTTGTTTTCATCGGCTTGGAGGGGAAGGGGAGCGACTTCTTTGGCAAGTGAACCCGCACCCAACCACAAAACGTAAGAACATCGCAGTGTGGCCTTCTTGTTGCAGTTTTCCATATGGTGACATCAGCCACTGGGGAAACTCCCCAGATTTCATTTGCCAGGTCAATGACTCCCAAAGGGACAAATCAGAAAACGGTTTGGGCCTGTGGCAAAATAGGGTGACCCCCCAAAAATGGTGGGTTCTTTTTAGTTCCCCCCCAAAAGCAAAACAAGAGAGTGTCCCCGCACAAACAGAGACACCTGCAACATTTTGCACATCCAGGTTCCTGGCCCTGGGAAGAATCCGTGAGGTCCGTCTCTTCAAAACATGCGGGTATTTGTTTTGGCGTTGTCTTGTTGGTTCGCTTTGCAAGGGGGTCATGGCCTTGTGAACCTCGAGGCCTTGTACAGTGTTTTTGTCTAGGCTTGTTTTGGGAAAATGTGGTGGTTTGTGACTCGTTTGTGACGAGAATGGTGGACTCGTTTGCCTCACAGAAATGGCCGAAACAGCCAACCTGTATTTTTGGGGGACGGCCACTGTAGTGCCGGACGAACCACATCAGGGATGTGGGATCAAGGGTTATCCCCAGTTCTGTGATACAAGGGGATCTCCCCCTTGCATGGGTTAGTCTTTGGGAAGCCCTTTCTGTTGTGTCACAGAGGCGATCATTTCCGGAAGCGAACGACGACAGAGAGTCCGTTCGCCCGTTCGCCGGCCGCCCAAGCCACGCAGACGTGCCGCAGGTGAAGCGCCTCTTCGAGGAGATGCGGGACCGAGTGCCGCCCACCGAACAGGCGTGGCTGGCGTTGGCCTATGCGCACGCCACCGAGGGTGAGGCTGGTAGACTTGGGGGGGGGGGGGGGGCGGGGTGGATGGGTATTTTCTGTGGTTTGCAGACCATTGACCTTTGGGCAATCAGTTTGTATCAGGTATACATATTGGCTCAACGCCACGCAAAACTGGCTCCACCGCATCAACCGCGCCGAGTTCTGAAGCATCACATACTGGGATCTGACGCCACCTGGCGCGACAGGCTCAAAGAACCAAGCCAACCAAACCAGCAACCAAGCCCCGCCAACCACATCGGAAGCCACATCGCTTTTTCCTGCCGAGTGCCAAGCCAGCAGCCCGACCAGGCTACCCAGGAAACCACGCTGATTTGTTTTCCTGGGTTGCAATGCCCGAGCGCTTGGCGTATTCAGCCGACTCCTGACAAGCGTTTTCAGGCGATGTGTGAACACCAGTTGGCCCCGCTTATAAAAAATATGGATTGTTTGTTTGCTTTGTCTTGTTTGCTTGTTTATTTGGTTGTTTGTTTGTCTGCTTGCTTGTTAGTAAGTCTGTTTGTTTGTTTGTTTGTTTGTTTGTTTTGTTTGGTTGGTTGGTTGGTTGGCGGGTGTGCGGGTGGGTGGGTGGCTTGGTGGGTTTGGTGGGTTTGGTGGGCTTGGTTGGTAAATTGGGTTGGTTTGGTTGGCTTTGGTTGGCTTGGGTTGGGTTGGGTTGGGTTGGGTTGGGTTGGGTTGGGTTGGTTGGTTGGCTGGTTGGCTGGTTGTTTAGTGTGTGTGTGTGTGTGTGTGTCTGTGTGTCTGTGTGTGTGTGTGTGTGTTTGACGGACGGACGGACGGACGGTTTGTTTGTTTGTTTGTTTGATTCTATGCTTGCTTGCTTGCTTGCTTGCTTGCTTGCTTGCTTGCTTGCTTGCTTGCTTGCTTGCTTGCTGGCTTGCTGGCTTGCTGGCTTGCTGGCTTGCTGGCTTGCTGGCTTGCTGGCTTGCTGGCTTGCTGGCTTGCTGGCTTGCTGGCTTGCTGGCTTGCTGGCTTGCTGGCTTGCTGGCTTGCTGGCTTGCTGGCTTTTGCTGGCTTGCTGGCTTGCTGGCTTGCTGGCTTGCTGGCTTGCTGGCTTGCTGGCTGGCTGGCTGGCTGGCTGGCTGGCTGGCTGGCTGGCTGGCTGGCTGGCTGGCTGGCTGACTGTGAGGGTTGGGATGGTTAATGTTTGATGGTCAATGTTTGATGTTCAAATGTTTGACGGTCAACGTTTGGTCAATGTTGCATCACATCCTCTGACTGGAAGTCGTTCCCTTTTCTACACTGATGCCGGTTGGAGTTTAGTTGCGGGGCTCATTCATCCCAAAAGCAGTTGGACCCTTGCATTTCGACTTTCCCTGTTTCCTGGTTGTTGTTGGGAAACATTTGAACCATTGTTGCTTGTTGTGGTTTAGTTGTTGAAATCCAACCACTTAACTGCTAAGATTTAAAACTTTTTGCTCCCCTTCCAACGTCAACCACGGTTTTCTTTCACTCTGCGCACTTCCATTTGGCTGTGGGTCAAAACCAATGGGATCCCATTTTGGGGAAGGTGAATTCACCAGTTCACTGGGGGGTAACCGAGATTTGGACCCATGGCCATAGAACTGCCACCAAAAAAGGGAGTTACTTATTAGCCTGGAGACTCCATCGTAGCAACAAAAATATGCCTCCCCCCTGGTTCGATACACAAATTAACACGTTGTAGCGTTTCTTCCCCCGCAATTGCTTTCGAGCATTTTTGCGCAACTCAACGAAGCGAGCGCACAAAAAGTGCAAAACAAGCGCAAATCGGTGCAACAAAGTGCAAACGAGCGAAAATCCCAAACATGGTACAGGGAATGGTTCCGACGGGCGCGTGATTGCTGACAACTCGAGTGATTTTTGTTGAATCGTACATGTATTTCAGAACAGGTTTTCACGAGCAGAAATATGTCGAGCAAATAATAATGTATCAATGGAGGCTGCAGGAGATTTCAGTGTTGAGAGACATGGCGAAAAATGAAGGGGTGGAAGGCCCGATTTCGATGTCCGAGCTTGTGGGACGGCCGAAATTCGTATTTATGGCCATCCAACTCCGACTTTCAACAAGTCACGGTTTCCGTCTCCGTCTCTCTGACTCACCACCTGGGAGGTGGAGCGGGCGGAGGACGCCGTCTTCGCAGTCCGCAAGACCTGGGGGGACCGCGCGGAGCTCGGGACGTGCCTGCTCTTCGCCTACGCCAAGAAGACGCCCGGCCGATGCTGCGATTTTCGCACGGCTGATGTGACTAGGTCCCCCAGCAATTGGTGCCCTTTCTTTTGCCAATCTTTTTTGGGGGATATCTTTTTGGGGTTGGGAGGGTTCCCATACTAAACTAGACTACAGAAACCTGTGCTGGAGGACCTAGTTGAGGTCCTCAAAGGGAAGCCGGAGGAAACCCACCTGAAGCTTGCCCTCATTTAATCAGAGCCCTGGTGTCAAACAACACATGTTTACGGGTTTGGAGGCATGGTCATGAACCCTTTAGGGATTTTTGGACAGCTATGAGGAGGTTTGGTAAGGGAACCCATGACCATCCATGCAAGAATGAGGTGTGGCTATGGCAAGTGGTGGTGGTGGTGTACCTCCCACCTTTTTCTTCGAGACCGTACTTGTTGTAACCGTTTTCAACGAAATCAACTGAGCACAAAAATCGTCAGAGGTTTCCCCATTTTGAAGCAAATGCATAGTTTCACGCAGCCTGTGGTAGCTAGGCGTCTCACTTTGCGCCAAGCCCATGATATCCCATGTGAATTGTTTGGGCAACTTAAATCTGCAACTGGCGAACCAAGAGGGTTTATATGGGTCCATGTCTTGTTTCAAGTTTGTTTTTTCATACCCACATATATCCCTTTTCAAGTCACCTGTGAGGCAAGTTTAGAGGATGGCTTCTTCACATGGGGTGATGCTTAAAGGGGGCATATTGCCGGCGCTGCCCTTTTTCCCCCTTTGGTTGCTGTTCGGTCGGACCGAGCCAGCCTTTACATTTCTGTGACGTGGTCACAGACCAGGCCACATGCGCATTGTTTGAAGCTTGCCTGGAGCTGGGGTTCCCCTTTTGCCAGTCTGGGATGCCGCAGTGGCAATTGATTTTAGTGGGGGAATCCCCACAATCGCAGTTGATCGTATCTACATGATGTTCACTAAAGGCTCCCCAGAAAAAGACCAAGCGAAAACCTACAAACCCAAATGTGTACCCCAAACCAGCCCCTAAGAACGATATGGGAATGAATTTTAATAGGGAACCACCTCAAAGTGATGGACATGAATCCCCATGATGATGTCCACCAAAGGGTTCCTTATTAATATTCCTGGTTTACCCTTTTTTTAATACCTGTTTTTGTTTACCTGTTTTTTTTTTTTTTTTAATACCTGTTTTATAGCCATATCGTTTCTACCCGCTTTTTTTTCCCCCCCGGCTGCGCAGCGGCGCAACGAAGGATGGGCCAGCGGAGCCGGAAGGCCGAGGCCTGGTTCACAAAGCACGTGAGGTGAGGCCGTGGACCTGAAAGAAATTTTGGGTTTCCCTTTGGTGCGCATGTAGGTTCCAAACCATAAAAAACCTTTTTCTAGGTGGAAAAAAATCCCACTTGCATGAGTTGGACATCCACCCTTTGATCGCAAGAGCAAGATAGCAGCTGTTTAAAGGGAACGTGCCTCTATTATGCTGGACATGTGTCCTTCTTCGGACGGAGCTTCGGCAAACGGAGGTGCTTCCTCTTACTGTAGTATCGATTGATGTGAGAGGTACTGCAGATTTGGCGATTTAGTTTTTTTGGTTCTGCTCATATTTAGTAGGGGGCTGGAAGCAACATGTTTTTTTTTGCTACCCTACCAAGGGTTGTGAAGATAGGGGAACTCCTTTTGGGGGGGACCAAAGCGGTGGTTCCATGTTTAATTTGCAGGGCTGTACTGCAAGCAGGCTCGAACAAACGGGCATGCCGTCCAGCACCCACAGTCTCGGACGGTGACCTGGTGGTAGAACATAGGAAGATGGTTCTTGTTTCACTGCCTTATTGGAAACGCATGTATGCTCCCCCCCCCCGAACAGTGGCAATGGTTTCCTCTGGCCGGCATGAACAACCTGTCCCCCAAAACGGCCCGGCAAAAGGAGCCGGCCTTGAGCATGGTAGACCGGGGGCCCAATTTCGGGGGTGTCTTCGGGTCCAAAACAAACGACAGTTGGCCTCAACCCAAGTGTGAAGCATGTTGGAGGCTCTACTTTGCTTTTGAGGGTCAAAGGACTCGCCACTTTGGGGAGGTTACCCAGCTGGTGGCGTGGAGAGCCAAGGAGCTGTGGCCCCGGTATCCCAATTTGCTGAGCCGAACCCGGAGCTACCGATCGGAGTCCTGCAAGTACATGGGTGTGTTTCTTTTTCTTTGTTTCTGGTTCTTTTTTCTGCGGGACCCCCAGAAATGGTGTGGTTTTCCTTTTTGGTTTCACTTGAAAACCAACTAACAGGGGTACCAACTCAAGAAAAAGCCATTCACATGGTAGTGGGTTGAGCAATATTCCTGGCCCCCAAATGACCATGGGTAACTGTTCCCATGTAGGAAAATATCGAATCCTTGATTTGTTTCCACCAATGGTCATCCCATGTATCACGGACCTTTTGACCAACGCCCACATACCCCAACCGTGGTTGCTGTCGAAAACTCGCCTTTTGGGGGGAGGCTACCTAGCTGGTGGTTGGAAGGGAGCCAAAATTGCTTTTAAAGAGGGAGGTAAGGAGCCGCCAGTCCGGTAAGCACTTGGTAGTTAAAACAAAAACGAGACGCCGCGTCTGCGGAACAGGTGGAGTTTCGGCGGCTGGCGAAGCACTCGGCGCCGTCTGCGCAGGCACTACGGTACCTGCGCCAGGTGCGGACGGGGGAGAGGTGGCAGTGGGACATGGCGGAATTCCCACTGGCCGCTTTCCTCCCATGGGCTGAAATGTTGTTCTTCTCCCCCTTTTTGAATTGAAAGGGAATCGAGATCACTACTGGAAGGTTTTGTTTTTGTTTTTTCTTTCTTTTTTCCAGGGGGGAAAGAACAAATGGAAGTTTCCCAACGCCATTCCCAACAGCGTCATTCCCAACTCGAAAAGGAGCATGGTCACCTCATGTTGTAACCGTTGGTGCTAGGGGCAACTTTCCTGTTCTTTCCAGGGATCAATGGTTGAAACAAATTGGTGATCAACGACAGAGCCGCGGGGAGTGGTGGAGAGTGGGGAGGTTAGGGGTTCCTTCTGCGCGTTTTGGGTTTTTGCTTGTTCTCAGTAGGGAAATTGGGGAATGACTTGTCTCCCCCCACTTCGAGGGCGGCGCTCTGTTAGACTACCATACTCAAATAAGTTATTGGACACATGTATCCCCAAGAGTCAACGGCTCTTGCAGGTATGCTAACCTTGATCCAAAGCAACATTCGGCACAAGGGCGCCGCTGGGACAAGCCATTCTGACAACCATGGTGTCCCTAGTTGTTGGGACTTCCCCTCATGACTTTTGATAAAAAGGGGAAAACCGGCCCAACAGAGCTCCGCGGCATCCGCTTCCCCTCGGCCGAAATTCGCGTCTCCGGCGTTTCGGCTTCGCGCCAGGCCATGGGCGACAAAGCCGCCGGGGCGCTCTTGCGCGAGCTGGGCCTGGCCGAGGCGGAGTGATTGAAAACAAGGCGCGCGTCCCAAGAAACGGCGAAGTCGCCCGGGCTTTTGTGCACGCCGTGTGCTGTGTTCTGTTTGCGTGTTTCTGCGCGTTCGGTTTGCGTCTTTGTGTTGTGCGTGTGTTTTTTTGTTGGTGCTCCTGGTTGGCTTGCTTTGAAGGGAACCCGAAAGGACAACCACGGTCTTTGGAGATTTTTTCGTGGGTTTTGGTGGTTTGCCGGTGGAATGATGGTCGATTTTGTTGGTCGTGTTGATGGGCCACACCCAACGCGGAAGCAATACGCACACACCATCCAGGAAAGCGGGAGGCCCAATTGCCTAGTAGGCCGTTGCTTGTGCACAAGATTTGCCAGCAGTGCATATGCATTTCCTTCGCTGCTTCCCCTGCTTCACCCAGCTCCCCAAACACCCAGCCCGTGACCCAAGCTCTTTGAGACGGGGTGGATGAAGAGACGGGTGGATGCTCGACCCGCAGCCATTTGCCACCGGCACGTGCCGCTTGAATTTCTCAACCGCCTGGGGCCTGAGTGTGGCTTTTCGGAAAGCGACTGAGAAGCTGAGAGGCAGACAGGCGATCAATGCTCGGAAATCGACCTTTTTGGTTTTATGTTGTTGTTGTTTTTTTTGGGGGGGGCTCATTGTTGTATAGGCTTTCAGGATTTTTCCTGAACCCCCTCCCAGTTTGACCGCACCTTATGACTTGCCTCAAAATCCACCGGCCTTCGAGTCGAACACATGAATGACACAGCCCCCTTGAGCCCTGCGGAGCAGTTTCTGGGTTCGACTTCCCTGATCCACATCCAAGTTAAAATGCCGCGCTGTGGCAGAATCGGTTTTACGCAAACCCATGATGAAGGCCCTTTATAGGGGAGTATCAGACTTCGGGCTTTTGGAATAGTAAAACTTGCACAATAATACGGTTAATTGCGATGTGTTGAAATTTGTGTTGATATTTTGGAGTATTTGCAGGAATAGTTTATTGTTGTTTTTTTGTAAAGCAAATGCACATCAATCTCCATGTCCCCCACACCAATTAACATAGAACCGGACGTTTGTGGGCTCCTGGTTTGGACCATTGTCGTTTTACAGGGACCATCTCCCAAACGTCATTTTCCAAGTGAAAAGGGCGGGAGGGTACATGTCCCTACGCTTTAAGAGGACATTCCTCGCAGCGGCACATGGACAACTTCTATGGGGGCAGCAAGAGATCCAGGATTTGATTCCCACGAGCCCTCCTTTCTACTAAGGCCTCTTTCAACCATGGCGCCTTTCACCCCGCTGGAGCTCAAGGATACCAGCCCCGAACTCAGAATCGAATCTCGCCGGGCCGGAAGCCAAGATCGCTCTTGGAGCATAGCTAAGCTGAAAGAGGTGGCAAGTATTTAAGTCTCGTTGGCTCTGTTCATACCAAGGGTGGCAAAAAGAAGTGGAACAGTATTTTTTCCAGGGGGATTTTTGCTTAGGGGTGTAACAGAGCGACTTGTTCACTATGCCCCACAGATATCAGATATGAGGCGTGGAGAAGCATAGGGGATTCAAGCATGGTGGGCCAGACAGCCGCAAAGCAAGCACATTTCATTTTTGTTTCAGACCCGAGTAGTAGGGCCTGTGCTGTGTGTGCATGTGTGCGCCTGTGAATTACATATATATATATATACATATATATGTATATATATACGTATAAACCTTGTTTTTGTGTGCGCCTGTGTGCACTGTGCTTGGTAGTCTCAGAGGGAAACCAAACCCGACTTTGAGGGAAAGCCTGATATGGGTTGGGGACATCACCCAGCTTCCTTTTCTCCCGTCTCTTTCCGGCCCGTTCGTCAACTTTGTTCCGAGCGAATCATTCAGGGCAACTGGACGATGTGAGCCCAAAAACACTGCCTATATGGAGTGGAGCGTTAGGTTACTTGACCATCATAGGAAAGGCAGCCAGTTTGGGGAACAACTCCCCAAGATTGAGACCAAACTCATATTTTGGGGCAGGGTTCAATCGAGTGATCTCACCACGCGATTTGGCTTATGACCGATTTCACCCATGATGAATTGCCTTTTGACTCCCCAGAAAGGATTTGAAGAAAGAGTGGTTCCACACTTCTAGGGGGTCCCTTCAAATTCCCCAGGGCGCCAAAAGGCGAATCTCGCGCTTTGCGACGTAATCCCTTCCCAAAAAATAATAAACCCGGACCCCCCTATTCGTAAATCAGGTTGGGGGACAAAACACAATTATAAATGGCTAGGTCCCCCAGTAGTGCCCTTTCTCTCCCTTTCTTGGTTGGGAGGGTTCTCCTACGAAAATAGGCTACAGAAAAAAGATCGGGTACCAACTCATTCTAACCTCAGACTACTGCAGGACCTAGTTGACATATGGGTATGGGTCACCCCCCCAAAAAACAGACTTTTGGCTTCCCAGGTGTGGTCGGGATGCCTTTCTTGGCCATTTGGATAGAGTACTTTGGGTTAGATGATCGGGCTCAGGCAATTGCCATTTGGTGGAGATGAACAGCGACTTCCACTATGAGGGCCGCTCGGATGGGCCAGGTGGTGGGCGGGAGGATATGCTGTGCGCCCGAAGTTGCGGATTCAGGTGGTGGTGGTGGTGGTGGTGGTGGTGGTGGTGGTGGTGGTGGTGGTGGTGTTCTAGGGGCACCTTCCAATTCCATTCTGAACCCAGGGATCCGAATCTTTCTAGAGAACCTCCAGAAACCCGATCGGGAGAAAGGCGATCGGTGTTTGGAAAGAATGGGGAATCAACCCCTAGAGTAGTGGTGTATGGGTGTGTCTCTTGTTCTTGAGGGGACCCCTTTTTGTGGTGGTTTGAAAGGAACGCCCACACAAAAGGACACCAGTTTGGGGTACCCTAAAAGAAAGAGGCGCCAAACTCTTTGGTGGGAAATGAAGGGGCCTGAGCAAAGAGGGACTCTACATTCGATTCTTCCTTTGGTTGCGCAAACGGCAAACAGGGGTTGCAACAGGGACAAACAGCACTGGTGCAAGCCAGCAACATTTGCTTGGGACAAACAGATGCAGCCACTGGTGCAAGCCATTCGCTTGGCATTTTGCTATGTCGATTTTCAAATATTTGATTTTCAAAGAGGAGCAGAGAGCTCATCACTGGGATTCCCCTTATTTTGTCGGCGCAACAGATGGGACAGTCGGACTTTCTGCCATGAAAAGTCGGTTTGCTGGCCGAGGCTATCGATATTATTATTACTATCCGGCGTATCTCTACGCGCTGGCCCCAGTTTGGTAGGATCGGGGATCGGACTCGGGGTGGCTCAGCCTTGCGAGGGTTCGGCACTTTGGATGTTTCGAAAGTTCTACTTCCACGTGCCAAACCGCTGGAGCGTTTGGCTTTCCAAACGCGAGCCAAGTCTTTGGGCCCTTAGCCCATGTCAGCCATCAACATAGCCTGATAGGGTGGGAAGAGGGCTGATAGCTCAGCAACACTCGGGGGGTCGCCTGTGCTTTGGAGATGAGTGCGGTTTATGATGACCCGCGTGTGATTTCACCGTTCAAGTCCTGGAGTCGTGTCCTGGCCACGCGATCCTCCAAACTGTCAAGAGGTCCCCAGCAGTTGGGTGCTGCAAAGCGAGCAAGGATGCCTACTCACCGGCCTTTCGAGTCTCATTGTCCACAAAGCTCATTTCTAACCAGGAGATGGCTCTGTGAGGTTTTTTGGGTCCATGTTAGCCTGGGGAGTTTTAATATCAACTGGCTTCATTTCTCTTTGGGGGCGCAAGTTTCATTGAAAAAACAGGGGCCACATTCCCTTTGAACAAACGTTAAAATGGGACTCCTGAAAAACATCCCTCACGTCATATCCATGTCAATTTGGATGATTGGAGCTAGTTCTCGTATTAAATTATTACCCATGGATTTTACACCAAGTCATACACGCAGACACGCTGTTGTGTTCGACTTGAGCGTCCTGCGCCGGGAGGCGGTCGGGGCATTTTTATCCCAAGCCTGCAAAGTGAGGGTTTCTCAAAATGGTCTTGGTCCCCCTGGTGGTCCTGAAAAAAATAACAGTTTTTGAAGGGACACCAACCAAAAGTCTTTAAGGGACCACCATGTTTTTTCAGAACCCCCAAACCCTCGCCCCCCAGGTGGATTTTGAGCACCTCTTCCGGTTGGATAGGGACATTTGGCTGTGGGTCAAAACTAGGTTCCCAAAATGGATCCTGGCAAATGGAACCGTGGACTACCTGCGGCAGTGTGGGTTCAATTTTGACCCATACCCATTTCGAGGGAACACCCTTCAGGATTGAAGATCCGCTCTTCGAAGCCTTCGGGGCTTCGAGTCGCGCGCGTCCCGAGGCCCGGGAGGGCTGAGACTGCTGCTCTCCCGGGCTACTCGCCAGCATGGCGGCCAGGCGACGGGGCGTCGGGACGTCGGTCGGTCGACTCCCCGTGTCTGGGTGAAGTGACCTCTGCGGGTGTTGGTTTGGACTCCACGTGTTTTGGGTTGGGCTGAAGTCTCAGCTGTCCCAAGTTGCTCTTCACAGTGGCTGAAGAACCACCTGTCACCCCCAGTTCACCCCTAGTCACCCCCAATGCATCCCAGGAAACCCGTATAGTATATCAATCATACCCTCCCAAAATAGACGCGCAAACTGAGCGAAGCAATTCCTGAAGGGCCTTGCGTTGATTCCTCTGGGCTTAAGAATCCCAGTACACACGGTGAGAAGATAGGTGGAGAGCAGTTCCCTGTGGGTAAGCAGTGATGACCCAGCCAAAAACCTTTCTGTTTCCCTCTCTGATTCCCCTTCTGCAAGTAGAAATGAATGACCAAACCAACACCCACAGAGGTTACGTTGGTTTGCGTTGTCTTTGGTGCATTTTGCTTGGATGTTAGGAGTTTGACTTTTTGTGCCAACTACTGGGGTTTCCATTAACCCACTAAAAGTTAAACTTTTAGCAGGGGAGCAGAAAGCAACCAAATTTTGGTTGGTCTTCGCTTTTACCAGGGTTGAGTTTTGAATTATTGCAGAATTCTTGTGTTCCGGCAACCTGGAGCTGATTCAACTCGAATCCAGCTCGGCATGTTGTCGTCCCGCGGAAAGATGATGGATTTGAAGATGTCCGTGTTGATCTATCGGTGTTGGTGTTTTTGAGTCCAGGGTCCTCTGGGGCTTTTTTGTTTATGGGTCGCAACCAGGGCTACTTTCCTTGTAGCTGTGGCATGCCTTTCCTCCCATGGCGTCCCATGGTCCGCGAATCCGAGCCTAGGGCTCGGATTCATATTGCAAAGAAGGGGAAAAGTGCAACTCGGATGTATCATCAAACCCCAAGAAACCCAACGGGTGTGTCTCAAAATGGGGAATCGGAACCACCGTGTTGGTCGGTTCCTATTGGTTTCTATCATCCCGGCATTGCGGGCGTCGGGGCGTTGTTGGGTCAGGAGGCGGGCAGCGTCATGAGTTGGTGGCAGCGTTCGAAGTCGTTGCGCCAGGAAGAAAGACATGCCGGGCCCGCAAGTGGGGGGTGGGGGGCGGACTGGGGACTGTGCTCCATGGCAGCTTGTGCAGGGCATTGCCGTTGCTCAGAGCGATCCAAAAGGGTGAGACCTTTTCAGGGGAGCCCCGAAAAGGGGTCTTCCCTTTGGGCGCTGGCAGAAAAAAACGACCAAGCAGCCACACCCAAAGGCTGGGCTGTAGGCAATCCTTGATCCTTCCTCAAATTTCGAAGGTGGCCAAACCTCCCCCGAAACCTCGCCCCAAGCCTCCCCGCAAAGCTCCCAAGCCTCCCCCCTTTGTGACGTTTCCCAATACTTGGATGGACGAACTCCTGCGCCAGCTTGTATTTACTCCAGGGTTTTTTGGGTGGTGCCTAAGCGGATTCCGTCCATGCACAATAGGGACCTCCCTGCAAACCTTTTTCCAAGCCTCCCCCCAAGCCTCCCCTTTTGGCTTCCCAATAGAGATGGGTTGGGATTGCAAAATTTTCGTCCATCCACCGTCGGGATCCTCCCCCCCGAGCCTCCATCCATCCCGTTTCTCTTTGTGACGCTGCCCAGGGATGGGATTGGGATCCACTCCCATCTTTCTCCCGGATCATCCGAGGCCAAGGCGCAAAGGCCGTAAGGCGCCGGGGGAGGGGGGGGGGGGGGCGTTCAGGTGGAAGAGGTAGCCCCATTTTGGGTGTGGATGAATCAACCAGCTGAAGCTCGGGTTGCGCAGGCGCTAGTCTTTGGCACCATCTTCCAAGGCATCTTTTGGTACTTTTGTTGGAGCCACAGCCGAATCTGGAATAAGATTTGTGTACGTCTGTAGAGCACCATGCGGTATTTGGTAAATCGGCGGCCGATTTTTGCAACATGTGCGTGGTTTCACGGTGTTCTCCCACCAATTTGGTGGCAGCAGGTGGTGGTTTCATCTGAGGCTTGCGGTGTAGACGTGGGGGACGGTTGGCTCGCGTGAGCCCCCGACCTGGAGGTTAAAGCCCCGCGGGGGGGGGGCGTGTTCTTTGGCTAGTCCGCGGGTGGAGAAGGAGCCCCCCCTGTTGGTGTGGGTGTTTCAAGGGAGTCCAACAAGAGCCCGAAAGGAAGCCAAGAAAGAGACACCTAAAAGAGTTGAAAGGAAACCGAGAAGAAACCAAAATGGACTGAAAGAACATCGGAATCGAGGGAAACCAAATGAAAACCAGAAGGAAACAAAGAAGAAGCCCAATCTCCACCAAGCCTTTCAAGGGGGCCAATGTCCATTTTAGGGCACACTCACAACTTAGTTGTGTGCACCGATTCAGGTCAGCATTTGGGATTGCTCACCATCAATCCGTGCAGGCAACATTGAGGATGGTACAGTCAGGATGCTACCAGCATGGCCCCGTTGCGCACTTGCCCAATACAAGCAAAGATCTATAAGCCGCACTAGACGGCAGAGGAGTGTGTCCTGCTAAAGTGACAATGACTTCTGGAAGCATTTCCATTTAGCTTGGTAGTTCCCAGGCGTCCCTTGGGCTTTTAGGCTTTTAGGGATGAGAGACAATTTAAAATGAAGCAACCCAATGAGTTAAACTTTTGGCGGGGGATCCGAGGGCTTGCCCCAGTTAAGTTGCACCCCCCGAACATCTACCCTCAGCCACTCTTTGGAACTGAACACGGGCGTCACCTGAAGCTACGAAGCGGTAAGAATGCGTCCACTCATGGTAACTTTGGGATGTATTACTCCAGGTTGTGTATATAGTATCGGAATTCTCCCAGAGGATGATATGATATCTGCAACTTGGTCTGCCAAGATGTATACATATTTATTTGCCCAGATACATGGTCTGCAAACTTTCAGTAGCTGGTGGACACAAATCGCCATGAACCTATGTCCACCAGCTAGAATCCGCCATGATTCGGCTTTTTCTTCTTTGAGGGTACCCTTGCCCAATCTTTTTCAGGGTGGTTTAACAGGAAGCCATACATTCCCAATCCGCTTGAGGGTTCCACAAGACTTGACGCCCCATTCATAAGTGTCCTTTTTGGTTGCGGTAGGACTCGGTAGATAGATTCAGATGGCCCTTGAGCTGGTTGCTTCAACCAGAGTCATCCATCCGAAAAGGACACCTAACCCCATTCCTCGGGGCTGGATTTGGATCTCCAGTTTCGTCAGGTGGCGGTCATGGCTGAGAAGGTCACCGCGAATTGGGTGCCGTCTTTGAAGTGCTCAGAATTTCCTGGGAACTTAGTGGACAACTAGGTCCCCCGGCAATTGGTGCCCTTTTTTGCCGTTTCTTTTTGAGTAGGGGAGGGTTCCCCTACTAAAATAGACTACAGGAAAAAGGGTTCCCTGATTCTAACCTCTCTACCGGAGGACCTATTAATGGACTTGTTTTAAGTTTTTTCCTCAATGGACATGTCCCATCCAGATTGAGCCAGAAGCTTCTTCGACTGGAGCTCTTAGAATCACGGCTGACGCCTCAGGAATGTATGCACAGAATTTGGCAAGAAGACCAAGGAAGCAAGCAGTGCGTTCGGAACCTCAGCAGCAAGTATGCCTAATTGCCATGAAGGGGCAACCCTATTTTTCACTGGTCAAAACTGTGCTGCCTGAACCCACTGGAGCAATTCGGCGTGAAGCGAGCTTCTGAGTTGGACACTCGAGTTTTGCGGCAACCCACACGCGATGGTACCCACGTTTGTTTTTTGTTTTGCAACAAAACAAATGTAAACGCTTCGGGGTGCCCGCCTCAGCCAGCCTCAGCCGGATTCTTTGGGTTTGGCTTTGAAGTGTCTTGATCCACATTGGTATCCTTGGTGAGTTTGCTGGCTAAGGGTGCCTTGATCAAAAAAACACATACTGCACTACGCCAGACAGAAAGTTTCCAATTTCTTTGTGCCAACCAGCAAAGCAAAAACTAGCTTTTGCAGGGGGCCCAAGCTTGTCCCAGAAGTAATTACCAGCATGCCGCTTGGGCTCGGTACCCCTTTTATTTTTGTTCTTCGGGAAGCCAAGAGGCAGCTTCCACGTCCCGTTTGGAGACTCACCCGTCAGTCTGACTTGTGTGATTTGGGCCGCTTGGCACACGCGGAATGGCAGGCAACCCGCAAGCTGACGAGGGCTTGCCTGCAGCTGTGCGAGGCGCAAGGGCGTTGGGGGCGGGAAAGGGGGGGTGGTAGGAGAGGATCTTGAGGTAGGTGTGGTCGTCTTGAGGTTACCTCAATTTGCACCGGAAGGAAACCGGCAAACAAGTTGTCGGGAGGGGCAAGAGCTGTGGTGGAGACGCGTTTGTTGCATGCTGCGGAGCCCGATGGGTTGGCCAACGAATCAAATTGCGCATGACAAAGGCTGAATGGATTGGATCAAGAGTTCAGGAAACCGTTAGTTGGTGGTTTGGATAGGTGGTTTGGATTTGGAGTTGAGCCCCTGGTTCTTGAGGGTAAATGGGAAACCACCCCGGAACACCTCCAAACCGCCAATCCAAACCACAAATGTTCAGGGAAGTTGAAGATTTGGGGCATATGCTTGGTCAGACTGGTTTTTCATGGCCTCATATCTATAGATGTCATATATGTTGGCGGTTGCCTGCAGCAGGGTTTCGAATCTGATCAAGCTTCTGGCGGCTTTGGACGCTTGAAACTGGTTTTGAGGCGTTGAGTGTGGGGTGTCATTGTCCAGTGTCAGACATGTCGTGGAATCGAATGGCTCATTGTTGCTGTGCAACCTCTTAGGCGTTCCGAGCCAACACACACACACACACACACGACATGGACACTTGTACATGTTATCGAACCAAGCTCAGATTTGAATTTCTACTCAGAGGATGAGTTTTGGTTCTGCAAAAGGTTTGCCTTCGTTTTGTTTTCTCAGGTTGTTGTTTTTGTTCCCCCTTAGTTGTTTGTTTTGCTGCTTCCCTCCAAATATCCGCTGCAACTCTAGCTTTGTTTAGTTTGTTGGAGGGATAAAGCAAACAAACTCAGGGAAAGTTTAAAACACAACAAAACCACCTCCCAAAAAAAGCTCAGAGAGACGTTGTGATTTTGCCAAAAGTCGTTGGTTTGCTCCGTGTGTTTGTTGTTGTTCCTTGGGTTTTGTGTGTTTGGCGTTATTTCTCCAACGACAGTTGCGAATTTAAGCAGGAACTTGTTCCCGAACAGGAGTTTAATCAAGTCAAAGTTAATTGCAATTTGCATGGATTTTGATCAGTCCCCACATAGGCTTCTAGCTTCTTGGCTACGCTAGTCGGGTACGCAATCAGACAACAACAAACAACAAGCCCAATAAGTCTTATGTCAACAATCGTATGATATATACGTATATCACAGCAACAAGTAAGGATCAAACAACGACAATTCCAAACACGTAAATACAGACTGAATCAAATCTTATGACCCAGTACATGTATGACCGCATGACTCTAGGGGTTATTCATCATTCTTTCAACCATCGTTCTTTGAAAAAAAAACACAGATCCGTTTTCTCTGGGTTTCCGGAGGTTTTCTACAAAGATAGGATCCCTGGGAAAGAATGTAATTTTAAGGTACCCCTAGAACAATCCAAAACGCCAAATGACGCAGCAGGGTGGTTGGTTTCCCCTGAAACCAGGAGAAAAAAAAGAAGGTACCCCTAGAATGACCCAATCAATCTTCTATGTGCTTGATCTGAAGGTACCCCTAGAATGGCCCGATACATCTGCTAGCCCGATCTGCGGCCGGCGGCGGAAAGCGCGCTGGCGCGCGCGCTGGCGCGCCCGCCATGCGAGGCCTTGGCGAAAGCCACGGCGGCACAGCGGCACAGGGTCATCGCCGGCCTCAGCCAGGCGGTGCCCGGCGGTGGGAAGGGGAGCCGAAAACGGACGGAGCTGGGGGTAGTGTTGACCCCCAAAAAAAAATCCACCCCGGTTTTTTGGATAGGGTGCTTTTCCCTTTGGGTTTGGTGGGATTTCAGAGCACTTTGGGAGGGGAAGTTTCCCCAACAAAAATAAATTCCGAGTCCTATTTTGGGACAAAGCCGTGTGTTCCGATCCGTCAGAGCTGGCATCTATCCACATCCCAGGTAATGACTTCATGGCGCTGTGACTCAAAACAACTCATGGGCTCGCCAGCCAAAAGCTTTGATCCCAAAACCTCCCTCGCTACTCGTTCCCTTTGAGAGCCATGGACGATAGCAACCCCAAAATGCCCCAAGGATTGCGCTATCGCTCCCAGAAACCCATTCTAGGCTTAGGCTTCGGAGTTTCTGGCAGGCCTCAGTTGAGCAGCGCCCAAACTTGACTTGCTTAACCAGGAAGCACTTAAGGCAGTGTTGGGTGGAAAGGGCACATATCGAAGCCTTCACACAGGGAACCATTGAGGGTTTCCTCCATTTAGTCAAAAACAAGTCCTTATTTTCCCTTTGTTGGTTTAAAAGGGGATCTACCACTACTGGACTTACCATGGATGGACGAAATCCTGCACCACCCAAGAAGCCATGAACAAGCATTGTTTGCTGGTATTTACAGGGGAATCGTCATTCCGGAGTTGCCCAGGTGGTGCGAAATGGATTTTGTCCATCCACAGTATGTGTTTGTTTTTGGGTTCAGGGGATTTTTGTTTTATTTTTATTTATTTTTTCGCAGGGCTTGCTGGTGTCGTTTTTCCGCTGGAAGGGCCTGAGGAAGGAGTTGATCTCCATCCGCGAGGCCGTCGACTGGGATCCTGAGATCCTGGGTTACCTTTTGGTGGTCCCCCAGCGAAAGGGTGCCCTGTCTCACCGTTTCATTTTTTTTGGGGTGAGGGAGCCTACTAAAATAGACTGCAGAACAAAAGTTGGCAAGCTGGCTTTAACCTCTCTAGTGGAGGACCTAGTGGTGATTTGGATTGGTGGGAACTGGGGATGTGAACCCCAGCGTCTTTACAAATGGGGCGGATACCCCTGAACGCCCAAACCACCAGACCAAACCACCAATCAAAGGAAAGCTGATACTGTGGATGGTTGGAATACCGAAATCCAGACATCGCACCCAAGCCCTGGAAGGATTCGAGTCCGCAACGGAAATACCAACAAACGCTATGGCTTTCAGCATGGTTTCATCTCGTGGTGCGAAATGGATTTCGTCCATCCGAGTAGGGGGGGCCAAGAAAAGGCGGGGGTTTCCTAAAACTCAGCAAGGAGCGCTAAGGAACCCTAGGGCTCTCAACTACCCACACCTGCTCGTTTTAGGGATCCCAGCAGACTGGTGGCTTTCCTGTTGCTTTCCCTTTAAAGCAACTTGAAATGCGGGACCGTTACAAAACACAACAGTTCATGTGCTCGGGGACGAATGGACCGCTGTTGGCTGCTTGTCGCGCGCTTCCTTCATGGAGCGCGGAAGATGTCATGCATCATGGTTGTTTCTTGTCCAAGCGAGAAACTGGGGTGTACTTCTCTCCGGGAGAGAAGTTTGTTTCCACTCATAGACCCCATCGCCAAATTTCCCCTTCCGCCAGGCGCAGCAGAATGTGGAAAGCGCAAGGACTCGGGCCCTTCGTCGGGCGTCTCTGGGCCTCAAAACAAAATAAATCTGTAAGTAGGGCTCCCAATGTGCCTTCTGGCTGAAGCCGTCTGGCTTAGGGTCAATTCCAAGTGAATGTGTTCGCGGGTCATGAAAATGGGCTCCCACTTTTCACAGAAAGGACGACACAGTTCGCGGCAGAAGTCAGTGTCAAATCTGTGAATGGATGTTTGCGCAATGCCGGGTTACATTCGGCAACAGTTCATCTTTGCCCTTTGCCTAAAATGGCTATGACTTTCAATCGGGCACTTCCCCTCCAAAGTGGTAAGCTCTCCACCCACATGATGTCCGCCATTTCGGGTTCCCAATTCAGACTCAGACTCAAATGCTGAAGGCATGCAGGATGTATGTACTACACTTGGGTTTTGTCACACTGACCAAGCACGCGGAACACCGACCCCCTCCAACAGTGGCTGTTTCTGTTGGTTTTCCACCAGTAAGTTGATCAACTTAAGGGGAATTCCAGTGACTATTGGGATGCCCGGTTTTTCAGCGCACCAAATGTGTGTTGCACCGGCATACTGAGTTGGTACCTAAGTTCAAAGGGCAACCCCCGAAAAGAAAAAACGGAGAAGGAGCAAAACGGACATGACTGGAGGTCCGGGATGCCTGTTTCATGTTGGTTTCCGTTTAAAACCCCTCGGGAAAAAGTGTTGGTCCACTTCTCTCCCATGGACATCCGCCGATTTTGCTGTACGGATCTTCTAGGACGCGGAGCGCCAAGAGGAGGTCGCAGTCGGCCGGGGGCCCCTGATGGTGCGAAGCATACTGCGGATTTACGAAGTCTATGTGGCACCAACTGAGAAGCCCAACCAATGATGAGTCGCCCTCTAATTAAATACCAACAACCAATGGCTTTTCATAGTTTCTCAGGTGGTGCAGGATGTTGTCCATCCACTCTAAGTGTCCTGTTTGGTTGTGGTAGAAAATCGATGGCCCTGGTTGACGTGTTTGTTTCACGATTTACCAGGGATAAATCCATCGATTTTCGTGGGGGGGGAACGAAAGGGAAGCCACCCATTGTGTGATCCCCGCATTTTGAGGACCTATGTGGTACATTCGAATTCAAGCAGGGGCAAAATGATTCATACTGTGGATGGACGAAATCCTGCACCACTTTGAAACCATGGGCAACCAGAATTTGTTGGTATTCACAGGCGAATCATCATTCCAGGGTTTCTTAAGTGGTGCAGGATTTTGTCCATCCACAGTACCCCCATACTAATTGCTTAGGCCCTTATAGCACCTGTAACCAAACTGGTTTCAGTTAGATTCTCTTCTCGCTTACCAGTGATGCCCCTCCGCCCCTTGTTTGTTTGTTTGGTTGTTTGTTTGTTTGTTTGTGTTTATTTGCAGTCAGGCCACATGTTTGCAGATGCCCCGATTACACAGGGCTTGGGAAAGATCAAAAGCGCGAGTTGTGACATCCCACGTGCCTCAAAACAACGGAGTCCCAAGTTAGCTGGTTTCTGCTTGGTTTCTCTTTTGGTTTCCCCTCTATCAATCACCCCGAAAAGACGCACACCTTCGAAAAGAGAGACGCACACCTTGGGACGTTGGGTTTCGCAAAGAAAGGACTCCCTGTCAGTGCTGTTCATTTGGGTGGGTGAGAGATGCGAAAACAAAACAAACAAAAACATACTGGATTGCAGAGGCTAGGAAGCGTTATCCAGTTGGACTTCTGAATGGCCATTTCTTTTCATGGAGGTCAGCTGTGGTTGCCGCTGTTTTGCTTGATGCTTCGTTGGTGGATTTCTTGAGTCAGCCATATACTGCTCAACATGGATGAATTGGACACATGGAGCACCTTGCCAAACAAGACTGCGCATCGCAAGCCCGCTGAGTGGCTGAACCGCATCACGCATCGTTCACGCGCGGCGCGCTCACACACACACATCGAGGGGCCGCCCGCGTAGCCAGCTTGCATTCTGCCCATCCAGTACTGCAGTTCGCTTAACCAAAGGCGTCCACTGAAGCCTATGCAGCCACTGTAGCCTTCCCTACCTTGCAGCATACGGCGAAATGAGGAAGAGCCTAGAATCTTTGGGTTACTCACTTCCCGCGCTTCCCGGCCCGTCGAAGCCTTGTGGACCCATGGCGTACGCCACGAACGACGAGCCTGCTGCCAAGAAGGCGCGAAGCGGTCAAGGCGGATGCTCGCCCAAGGAGACACCTTGGAAGGAGGGTCATACGAGAGGCCAAGTTATTTCTAACATTTTGCTCCGATATGTTCATGCCTCAAGTTGGTTTTGAGGATCCCATCACCCCCATTGAACTTATTTTACGTTTTTTTCTACTGGCCTTTAGAGCAAGCATCCAGGACACTCCTGCTAGCTTCCAGAGTTGGGGAACACATCACGCTTTGATGGGTGCCCTTGCAGCCCCGGAACGCAAACTTCAAATGGGCATGTGTCACTGCATCCTCCAGATTGCTTCGAAACAGGATTTCACCTATAGAAGCAATTTTGAGCAAATGCATAGACTCTTGGCCCTCGTTCAATCATGTAGAGAGTTTGCCCGTATCATGTTTGTCGGGCTGGACCTTATGGACATGCTCACGCAATTAACAGTCGAGCCTTTGCTTTACTTCAATAGCAGTCCTCCAAACCACACTCCTTTGACGGGGAACATGGGTATGTCGTGCAACTTAGGGCCCTAAACATGCTGTTTGTGTTTCCCCCATTGGTTTTTCTTGAAGCCAAGCCCAACAAGGGGTTTCCCTCCAAAAAGGACGGAGCCACATCGCAGCCATCGCGAGGCCAGGATGGACAAGCCGACGGTCAACCCCTTGACTGAGAGGCCATTCTCAGACCGCTCCTTGGAAAGCTCAGTTGGGGTCCTTGGTGGCTTTGCTTGCTGCTCAGCAGGGAATGAGAACTGGAATGACCCTTCTAAAACCATCCAACTGGTGGTTTCCTATAAGGGGACCCCTGGGTTCATTCCCGCATTCCCTACTGAGCACCAGCAAGTTGTGCATTTTAGTTTCCTTTTCAGACAGCAACAAAACAGTTACCAGGTACCCGTTGTGAGAGAACCAATGATGAGTACGTTGACTTGAGCAGACCATCATAATGACTGGTACAATGATCAGTATACAGACGACTTATTACCACCCTTCCCAGAAGAGGGTCGGCGGAGCTTCTCCTTGAAACTACCAGGCAGCAGGTACCCTCCACGAAAAGACAGCATGGGGGGTTTATGTCCATGGGTGTTCCACAGCGTCTGTGGTTAAGGGCTGAGGTCGTGGAAGGGCTTTGGGCCCCACGAATACAAGGGCTTCCTGGGGTGAGGAGTCAAACCTGAGTCACTGATTTGGGGTTCTGCGAGCTCCATGGCCAGCCAGGCTTAAAGAAATGATCCAGCACCCTCCAGGTGCCGCCGATCAATTCTTCATTCGGGGCAGATCAAAAGCAGCCATCCGTGCTGCAAGTTTCACGAGATCCGGCCATTTCGTTGCCTTTCCAAGTGGGGGCTGACGTCTACTTACCACGGGATGTCTGCGAACATGTCTCCGGGTCCTCAAGAAGTCGTGGCCATCCCCATGTCGCGGAGGCCTCCTGAACTTGAAGCCCCCCCCGAAGCCGCAGGGTTTTGGTCCCTCGGTTCCATTTGCCAGGGCTGGAATTCAATTTGGGGCACGTGGCATTTTTGTCCCACTGCCAAGCAGGAAGGTTCGCTTGGCCCTGTTGGCCCTGTTTGGCCTTGAACGGAGCTGGTGGATGATACACCTAAAGAGGTGTTGGTCTCGCAAGGGCGTCGTAAAGCGTGTCAGGTAAGCACCTTTGCATGTTGTTTGGGTCTCTTTTGAACCCTGGATTTGGGATACGACTCACTTCAAATTGCTTAGCTTGAGGTCGGTGAGCTGTGAGCCGCCTGGCGTTTTGCTCTCAGGTTATTACGACATCCTAGACAAGCGCCAGAAGCTGCCGGCATGGGAAGCAAGGCGAAGAGAGGGGGGAGTGAGAACTGCAGGTGAAAGAAGGTAAAGTGGGCAGATGCGAACTTCTTGGCTACGAAAGGTAAGGTCTACTTTGAAGTCGCAGTTCCGCTCCGCTTGCTTGCTACTAGTGAATCCGAACACCAATTTTTGGATGAGCCATAGTCATTGGCTTAGGGGAAATGGGGATGGGAAGGATTTGCGAAGCTAGAAAATCGCAAAAACAACCATTGTCCATTCAACGATCAGTGCATATGCTATTGTGAGCTCGCTGACAGGGGGGGGCAAAATGACCTTGCCCATGATGGGGGCTCTTCACCATGCATGAACTAATGCAGGTGGCATGCAGGGCACTAGGAAACCTGGGTTTCTCTCAAAATCGGGGGCCCCGCAAAGTCCAGAAAGTGGGTGGTTTCCCTTCGGCTTCCCCTTAGGCCCACCCAACAAGGGCACCGAGCCTTAGAAAGAAAGAAAGGTTCAGGGACCTTTTTAGGTCTTGGACGGGTTCTGAGAACATCTGAGAACCATTCTGATTGGTAAGGAGCTAAGGGGCGGCAGGATCCTGGTCCATTAAACAAACAAAAACAGCTCAACAATGCCAAAAAAGACAAGGCTCCAAAAGGCTCTAAAAGGCTCCAAAAGGCTCCAAAAGGCTCAAAAATGCTCAAAAGAAACAAAACACACCCTGGGACCCCATACCATTCGGGTATCGACAGGAAGGAGTTCCTGAAGCTCATCAAGCGCAACCAGACGGTGGTGCTGGTCGGGGAGACCGGCTCGGGCAAGACCACCCAGCTGCCCCAGTTCTTGCTGGAGGCACACGGAAAGAGGCATAGGCTCAGTTGGTCAGTGGCGCCCATTCTTTTTCCTTTTTTTTGGTGGCTGCCCCACTAAAAGTGGTCTTCCCCAAAAAGGGTTCCCTTTTCTTTTTTTTCTTCTCCAGGGTCACTGAACAACTGAGTAGGTGTCCTTTTCAGGTTTAGGCGAGGTTCTTCCATTGACCAGGGAAACCCATCGATTTTTCCGAAAGGCCACCTATGTAAAGAGGGAAAGCGGCCGGCGGGGCCTAAAGTCCCGTAAGTCCCGCATCTTAGGGGTCAAAATTACTTGGGGTGCATGGTTTCTCTCTCAGCGCCGGGTTAAGACTACGTTTGGGAGTGGTGTCCCTTGAAGCCCCTGTCTGACTTGCTAGCAAATCAGTTTTTGGTGTCCAAGTGACATTTTTGGAAACACCCAAGTGCCCCCCTAATTTTTCACATTTCGGCACGTTTTTTCCAGCGCTTTTTTTCGAGGCGGGCTATCACATGGCTGGCGAGAAGGCCAAAGGCGCCCCGGACGAAGTTGCGAGTTTGTTCATCCCAGACACGATTCCAGTGCTCCTTCCATTTGCTGAAATGAAGATGTGTTTCTTTTCCCTGGTTGGTTTTAAAGGGAATCGACTTCACTACCGGAAATATTGTTATTTTTCGGGGGCTGAAGCAAATAGAAGGTTCTCTGTATTTTTTGGGAGGGGGGTTCCCTTCAATCTTCAAAATCAACGACCAAGAATTTAGGCGCCGCTTCTTGTCCGCGGAAGGTGTACTTTGACGGGTCCCGGTCCACAGCCATGCTTTTCAACAAGCGTGGAAGTGGACCAGGGGCGTCCCAACTTGACTGCTATTGGGTTGGATCTTTAGACTTTAATTTTAGACTTTAACTTTTTGGGAAATCAAGGGGTTTTCCGCTAAACCCCCAAAAACTTAAACTGTTTGCAGGGAGCCAAAATGAAGGTAGTCTTCCAAAACCTCCCGATCGTCAGTTTC